CCCAAGGAAGGGTTGTCAGGGTACAGTTCGATAAGCCGGTCCAGAATATCATCAGAGATGTAAGGTGGGAATGCCGAGTATGTTTTTTGAATGTAATCTTTGATGACCTCATCTGTAAAACTGGTATTTGTCGATAGGCCGACTGTTCCTAATGAACACCAGCGTTAAGTTCGGCGTTTGTAAAGAGTTCATATCATACCTTCATCTAAGTTCGTGCCTGATATAAAAGGAATCGTGGCAAACTCTCCCTTTGCCCACATACGTGAAGGCAGATCGGGAAAGAGGCCTGAAGGACCATCTAGGACAGGATAAAAGGTAGGACTTTCGATGGCCAACGCATAGGCCTCCACCATTCCTTGATATATAGCCGACGTATTTGCGGCCTGCAAACAGGGGAAAGTGTTCTGTGTGTCAGCGACAGACTCGCAGCCTGGTGTCCCTGCTACAAAGTTCTGCCAGACAGATTCGCGTGTAGATGCGTTATAATAGACGGGGGAAGATGCAGAACCAGACTCAGAGATCTAATCGTTCACTCAGACCGATACCTCCTGTGAAATAAAACGACTGCATGCGTACCGCAGCCCTGGCAAAGTTGGAAATCGACGCGTTTAGAAGCATCATATTTGTCAACATGGATCCAGCACTTTGTCCGAAAATTGTCACCTATTCGGACTCGTTATCCAAGAGAATCAGCATATAATGAATTGATGCACCTTGTTTTTATCACCACCGAACAAACCAATGTTCTCTTGAACCCATTCCAAGGCAGTCAACACATCCCGGACTCCGAGGTTGACCTGCCCTCTGTCTCCGGCTTCTTGTCCTTGAGGGAAGCCTAATGGCCCTAGCCGATAATTGTAGTTCACATAGATGATGGGAGTTCCCTGCAATCAATTAGCTACAAAGACGTAGATGTAACGCGAAACTTTACTCTAGTAACACTCTGGGCAACGATATTGCTTCCATTGTACAACGACGAACCACCTTCAGAGAAACCGCCACCGTAGGTCCTTGGGCGTCGTCAGTGAGAGGACCACATGAATGAAAAATATAATTTTACCAGAACATTACGGGCAAGGGATCTTCGGACGACGCCCCCTTCGGCCGAAATATGTTGATGGTCAAACAATCCTCCGACATCTCATCGGTTTCAAGGCCCTGTAATTTCTTTAAAATAGAATCGCAGATATGAAGCAGAAATACCTACCTCCTGTAAACAGGCTAGTCCAAAATTTTCGGCGTCGAATTCATCGGCGTCAATGTCCGTTTTCAATACAGGACGCTCCAAACGCAAGGATCCAACCGGAGGTTCAGCGAATGGAATCCCTAGCCAATGTCTTAGCCTTGAGCATCGCTGCACGGTATGCTGGCTCACCTCCAAAGAACTCTTGCTGTAGTCCTGTAAGATCTCTTCCCACGAGCTTGGTTTTGCCCAGTTGGACCTCGGGGGCTGAAGCGGCCAAGAGAGCACAGTAGAGCAAGGATATCGCGATGAGCATAGTTAGCGAGACAAGAAATGGGAGAGAAGATGGCCTCTTTATGTAACATTTTGTTTCAGAGAATGATGGCCGTTAGGAAAGACGCAGAAGAGGTATTATTGCAAAATATCGGATTCACACACACTGCGCAGGTGCTTCGAGGCGAAAAAAGAGGCTTCGTCGGCCTGTCATCCACCGGTCTGAACGCTATGGAAAATTCGACGCGTCAGGGAGCCGGGTCTAACATTCCGAATATCAGAAAGTTTTTAGCAATTCATCCAAGCACAAGGCATCATTTAAGGGATTAAATCGTTAAGATCCTTGCAAACCATCTCTCGCCAGAATATCAAAAAATGAGGGTCGAGCATTGCAGGATAATAGTGGTAAGGAAGAGAGACGCGTTCTTTGTTTGGTCAACTTTGCCTCCTCGATGCGTACTACGTCGGCACTAGCCAACGGTGGTGAGCCTTTTCGTTCATTCACCGCTGGCCACCGATATTTTCGGGGCATCAAAGAGAAATTCAGCAATGAAATTTCACCGCTAACCTTCTCTCAGATCCCCGTCTCCAGTGTTTACCCAATGAATTTCTGCTGCGGTCGTTAATAATAGCACCTCGACACGAGTACTGAGAGGAACTGTTCTCGGTGACATGCGCCTGTCGAAGACTCAACGGTGTCACTGCCACCGACACGGGACTTTGGGAGAAATATCGACTTCTTCCCTCAGAGACCTCCGTCACGAAGCCCCACAGAAATATTCCTTCAATGTTCAGCTATAACTATGCGGAGGAGCTTCAAGACCTTACATACTGTGTAGCGAAGTTCCAGCGACAACTTCCCGTTCTCCATGTCAAACTTTGTTCTTACATTTCGATGCGTACCATCAAAGCTGCGCAGTGCAAAGACGTTCGGCTATACGGCTCTGCTAACTCATCCCAGTGACCTAACACGGAAACATATCTGCCAGCTGGAGTCAGAGGAATCAAATCACCTTCGTTGACTTGTTTATCCGCTCCGTCAAACAGCTCCACCTCGCATTTTTTCTCGATCTGTCGAATCGACTCCTGACAACTCCGAATTAAGATCATTCCTTTTCGCGGAAGCTCGTGGGTCTCTCGGCGCGTATTTGCTATGAGAGATGTCCGACTAACCAACCCCCCTCTCGAAAATATTCCACGACCCTGTCTAGGCGCCTTACCCCTGTCACCGCAGTTCAACGTTGTTAATCTTGAACATCTCCCAATCCGCCACTTTTTTCAGTTGTAGGATGACAATGATACGGTGGGGTCCGGTTAGGCAGCTTGAAAACAAGATAGTTCGCAGGCAAGCATACTAGACATGGCTGGTGAGACGATGGTAATAAAATACCGGTAACAAGGAGAGGCCCACCCAGTTGTGAGGCAGGTGCTATATATCTAGCAAAGAAAAAACTATACTCTGCGTCCTTAGTCGTTCATGCTAGACAGCGACCTGATATGATACTTGTTGAAGACTGACCTCTATGGCCAAGGCTCTGGCGCCAGCTTGTCTCTTTGTCGCGTCATGCTTCATTGGAAATGCGTGATCTCAGCAACAGGTTCATAGAGCATAAAGATGCATCCTGTAAGACATTGAGGCCCCGAACGATAGCTGTGATAGCATTGTGACCATAATCGCCCACGTCGACTTCGCTTCCGAGATGAATGTCGCTCAGAAGTCCAAAGATCTCCAGTTCCTCGACATTTTGCCAACCTGACCAGAGAAGAGACAAGTTCTCTAAGCTTCCTAAAGAAGAGAGCGGGGTCTAGCCGACCCTCTTCTTCTTTCATTGGTCGTTCGCTCTTTTCTGTCCAAGCGGAAACGATAAATGATACTTTTGGCTATTGGAACTGCACGAAGAGGCGAGAAAGGAAATGATACCTGTCCCAGGAACAGTAAGTGGAAGTAATTTCAGCTGAAAGATTCATACGGAACAAATCCGACAGAGTACTTAGCACTATGGCGAGCCCGAGTGCGATGTTGGTCATCCGATGAAACAAAATGTCCCATGACTGTCAAAAGAAACACTATCATATTTAGCAGCGATCATCAAAACAAAACACGGCATAAAACTACATTATCGCAGAAGCATCGAAAGGAGATAGCTAGCAATGAAAGCAGGGGGGGTAGGTAGTATTACATAGCACGGTGGAAAGATCGGAAGAACGAAAACGATGGGGAGGAAGGAGAAACAAGAAGAATTTACTGTGTATAGGACCTCTTACCAGAAGGGGACTGATATCTCGCCAACGTCGCTCGAAGCTGATTGACCTCTGACTCTGCCTGTCGACGAGCTGCCCGTTCTTGCTGGCGGGCTTCCTCTGCCTGTTGACGAGCTGCTCGTTCTTGCTGGCGGGCTACCTCTACCCGTTGGTAGGCTTCCTCTGTCTGTTGACGAGCTGTCCGTTCTTGCTGGCGGGCTACCTCTGCCCGTTGGTAGGCTTCCTCTGTCTGTTGGCGGACTACCCGTTCTTGCTGAAGGGCCCTCTCTGGAGCAAGAAGCGCCTGACAAGCATATCAGAAAAATCTGCCCGTCTAAAGAATGATAATCAAAAGCTCACGTCTCGCAACTCAATCCACTCCTGGTCCGCGATAACTTTTGCTTCTTCCCACTGCAGCTTGACCGTCCCCGGCGCCCTCCATTCGTTCACTTCATCGCCTCTCCCAAGGACCATGCCCGGTGCCAACTCAGGATTCCTGCCCTGTAATGGAGCATACTTTGTCGGTGTTATATGCGGTGCTGCCTCCAAATCAAGAACCTTCCAAATAGTGTATGCAAACCAGTAGCACTGCGCAAAGATGAGGTGGTACTCTACAGTGTTCGTCGAGGTGGTCTGGAGGAGGAGGAGAAAGTGCTCGAGGGTGACGCGTCTTTGCGCCTGCCTGAAGTCCATCGTCATAAGGCAATGATACGGGCATCCACCCTGCACCTCCAGGGCTTCGTCGATGCTGCGCAAGATGACGACTCTGTCGAATGCATCAATAGGATACCACTTGCTGAAATTCTTGACTTTAGCGCCGAAGCGATGAAGACGGTTGGGGGTATCCCAGTGATCATCAGTGGTAGCCGAGGAAGAGGCGGTAGAGGAATTGGACTGTGAGGCATTCGATGTAGGTGAATCGTTCAACCTATCTACCATGAGGTACCCGCTCCGCCTAGCTCCCGAAGATTCCTTCACGGTCACAACAAGGTACTCGTGCTGAGACACACTATGGGATGAGCAACATTTACGGTATTCGATTTCTTCGACATGAATATTACCGAGGCCTCTCCGGAGGAAATCGTTACGATTCTTAAGGGCGCTGAGAAGGAGCGTAGCGCTCGTCGCCCCCCGCTGAGGTTCGGTTGCGAAGATACACATGTCGTCGGAAGGGCCAGGGAACGGCATGATGAAGGAAAGGACGGTGGAGAAGAGCTGGGTGAGCCACTGGAAGGGCATCATCTTTTTCTGTTGTCTTTAAAGAAAATGCAGAGGCAGAAGATGGCGGTCGACATTAGCGTTGGGTTCAGTTCCCACGATTGCCCTTACCTAGCGATGGACACGTTCCGTCCAATATTTTAGGTTCCGCTTATCTTTCAGTAACAACCCTTAGTACCGCAAAGGGAAGGCTTGAACAGATACCTTGGTTTCTGCTGAAAAATTGGGCGCCTAGTGTGAAGGGTATTCAATCGATGTACTCGTGCCCTACATTTGCTTCGTTGTCGACACGCCCTTGCTGTTCTCGACCGCCTCGTTGATATCTTGCTGTATCCCACTATTCTCAACAAAGCCAAATTCAAGGTGATGCGTATCTAAGCGTCCACAAATGGCTGCAAATTACTTTGAATGCTGCAACGGCGCGGCAGCAACGATGCAGGAACGGTTGCTGTCATTCAAACAGCTGTGTTCTCTTGACTTTCTCATTCTTCGGAAAGAATTGGGGATCCGTCCATCTGTAAATTTTCAGAGTCCGTTCCTCAGCCTGTGCCAGATTTCCGTTCTGAAAAATGGAACGACGAACAATGCGTACTTGCATGAAGGAAATGCTGCGGTGGACTATGCCAACTATGATGTAATCAGAGACCATCACCACCACTATAATGCCCTTCCAGTAAGCATTCTGATGAACGCGTCTTTATCCCTTACTCACATCTTCCTTGTAGCTTTCAAGGGCCAGAAATCACGCGGTTGTCCTCGACCACGCTCACTGCAGCCGGTCTGATAACTTCTATCCGTAGATACGCACAAGCGTAGAACAATCATTCCCGGGCAAGTGCAGTCCATGCTACAAAGAAGACCGTGTCAAGGCTGACCCGTGTATCAGCTTCCTCTCCGTGACCTTTGTCCATTTCAGGCCTCGTTTCTCCGTGCAACTGGGACGTCATGTACGTATCAACTGAACAACCATCAATTTGTTGTGCCATAAGGAGGGAGAAGTCGACGTCTTGGTTTGGTCCATATGGATTTACACAGATTATACACGTGAAAAGGGTGAAAAAAAATGCAAGGCTATGTATAGAAGATGTTCGAGAAACTGTATATGGCTACATCGATGTTCGACTCAAATCAAGTCCTACAAAAAATAATAGTAACGATACTAGAAATATGGGGTTGGTGGAATAATGCAAGGGTATTAGTAACAATGTTTTGGATACAAGCACGCCCGGGAAAATTCAAGGCATAGCGTGGTGCGAAATTAATTTGCGTTCCTGGCGGCAATGGTAAGCGCGCCAATCACAATTCTCCAAGCAAGGTCAACAGCGTCCCACAAATTTGTCCTGTAGATACCGAGAGCGATCATATCCTGCCAGAGCTCCTTAACATGAGCAGGTGGGACCGCTGGGAAAAGTGCGCGCAGTGCGACACGAGGACGAGAGCATGTATAGGAAATACCATACAATGCTCTGAGGGAATCTTGGAAGACGAGACAGCCAACACATGGGTGGGGAACGCGCGCGACGGCGAGCGAATAGGGACGGATAACACGCCCGGAAGATGGCTTTTTGGGGAGATGGGAGGGCGCCAAAGTAGATATCCCTGCTAGCAATCTATACATAGCTGTTAGCGAGGAATTCGTTCAAAGAGTAGGGTCTGGATGCAGCCGAGATCGAGCAGGAAGGAATATTCATGGTTGAATGTGAGCGCAGTAGATCCGTGTCGTGCGAGTCGGACGCGTAGAGGTCAAAACCCAGTCTACTTTTAACAGGTTGAACTGGAATAGCTTACCGCCGGCATATACGTTTCCGAGCCGAGCGGCGTCTTCGGACCGCAACTTCAAAATTCTGTGGTCAGCAGACCGGGCTCTTTTATACGATTTGCTGCTTTCTCCACCTCGTCAAGTATTTGCCTGAGGTGGGCCCAACGGCACAAGTATACGCGTCAATGATGTGGAAATCGGGGCCAGAGGACGACTGAACCAGCAACCAGCTAAGAGTACATACGAGAAACGTACGTACTCTGTGCTAGAGAGCCGACCTTGATAAACACCGCAGGTGCAGAAGGTATCACCTTTGGTAAAACAAACAATCAGAGGAAGAGCAGGGTACATAGCATTGTATACAACCATACCTTGCAACCAGCCGATTCACAACCTCAGTCCGACGTCGCAACATCCACTCATCTCGTCGTAAGAAAACTTGAATAATCTCCAAATGATGGCAGGAGCATTTGACACTATGACATCGCCAGAGGGAGCTCCATGCAGTCCTTGAAGAGCGCCATGATAAAATAGCTTCGCGGGGATTTAGGTTGGAGAGAGCGTAACAGGCCAAAAGTGGTAGTAGTTGCTTGAGGGCCGGTTCCATTGCCAGTTCCTCTACCAATACTCCTAGCTATGACAGCAATACTCATTGCTATCTCTCGGAGACCCTCCTGACTTCAAGCTTCAATATTTCAATGGCCGTCGATACCTCAAAAGATATCTCTGCCGAGATTCACCACATTGGCATCTAGTATGTTGCCCTGTGGCCACCGCGGAGACGATGACAGTGCTGTTCGATGCTACTATGGTTGTAGCCGTGTCTTCCTTTGGTCTTGACCACAACGCTCGGAACTAGTGTTATTTGCAACACCCTGTTCATCTCAATCGATGTACGAACCAAGATGTGGTCCACAAGTGCAGTGCAAGATGATTTGTTCAGTATTTTTATACGTGTAGTGACTCGGGTTTGGGTATGCATGCGGTACACGTCTATTCGCAATATTCGGAATTTCACGCCTCGGTGGGCTGACACGTCGTTTACAGAGGAACGACTAGTAAACGAAGGTCACCTAATCGCAGGGTGAGTTTCCTTTTCCTTGTATACGCTTGTCCCCGTTGAAAGCCTTTCAGGCTTGTCGATATCACAAGAAAAACATTTGTATTTGTTATTCTCGCGCCGTCAACATCAATTTATCACGTTACGCGTGTCCTTACAAAGTCATGATTGCAGCTATTGTGCTCTCCCGCGGCGTTCGAAAACCCTCACAACAGCAATTCTACAACAACACCAGCTCATAGCGAGATGAAGGCTGTAGATCAATGCCGTCCTCTTTCTCTGATACCGCGTAACTATTCAAGTGGCATACTAATTCCGCCAGAGATTTAAGAGTTTGGTCGTACCTGTCAGGTCCCGAAGTTTGCAAGGCACCGTTTTTCGGCGGCAAATATAGCAAAGTTTGTCCTCGTGTAAGACTCGGAGCGCCGACTTCTCTGACTCAAGCTCGACGCTCTTATCGTTTATTTACAGTGGTCCGATATGACGTCTGTCTTGCCTGCCTGCCTAGAGAGCTGCGCCGCAAGATGTAAGATGTCGGTTACTTTATCGGAGGTTTTACCCCACGGGCCCCATCGCAAACAGTTGGTCGGCGTTTTCTATGCTCTAATACTCGGTAGTAGGGTGGAGTGACACAGAAAAACGTGGACTTTTACTCGTACACGGCACCGGTCAGTAAATGCCACTGTGTGAACTTCACTTTTGAGCCCACTCAGTCTTCTATAGCAGTCTATCGCATATCCATGCACTTGGTGCATCGATGGAGACTTCTGGTCAAAAATTGGGAACTGATACGCGCTCAGATAGTCTCAATCGATACGCCCCGCAACATTGGAAATCTCGTAAAGCGTAAATGCCTCCCTGCACAAGTTCCGGTATTAAAACATACAGGCTGACATATCTTCTACTATATTATGAAAGACTTACCTTTGTTTTGACGCTCGGTTGTTTTTTTCCGCTTCTCCAATGGTTCAAAGTTATTCCCGGAAATAATAAGGTCCGAAGGATTCAAGAAATCGTGCGAAAACCACTGGTCCGCACGGCGCTCTCTCTGGCTCGCGCTTGCGCTGATATTTTGCATCTCCCTTATCAGCCACGGTGTCGTCAAAGTAGGCCTGTTGAACCCGGAGTCGTTTCCGACGTTTTTCCGCCTATCCTCTCGGATCTCCGCCCGAGGCAGAACGTTCAGGCGCTATTACTCACGACTCCGGACCGTCGAGGGGAAAAAATTTTAGGGGCACAAAAGTCTCTCGACGGTTTCTTTTTTGTTTTGCTTATATGCATGCTCTCATCGCAGTTTAATGGCACCCGATGTCTACTACCCACATCAACCTTCCCTCTTGCGATGTCATTCCCCCGGAGGCGATGTTGGGCTCAGCTCTCGATGAGAAGGCCACGAGCTCGGATGGGGATGATCATGCGAATACTGATGACTGGGAGTACCCCGATGGTGGTCTCCGGGCGTGGCTCGTCGTTCTTGGGTGTTTTATGTTCTCATGTACTTGCATGTGAGTCTTATGCTCAGGCGCCGCTGTGCTATCTATCGTTCTCATTCGATCCAAAGGGCATGGGGCCTGATCTGGGGAGCCCTGCAAGACTATTATAGCACTTATATGTTCCCGGATGTCAGTCTCAGTATCCTGACTCTAGTGGGAGGTATCCAGAATTGTGTACGTCTGTCTGTCTGTCTGTCTGTCTGTCTGTCATTTGTTCGGATATATCCTGAACGTCACCTCAGACTATGGGGGTTACCTCATATATTGCGGGAGGGATAGGTGATCGCTAGTGAGTACATATGTGATATGAAATTACCTCTCCCTCATTATCTCATCTTGGCTCGTTTAGTGGCTACAAGGTATCACCACACTTGTAGCCATCAAGTCTGTGTCTAACTCGTGCATAGAAAATGATCGCTCTAAGTAGCGTCCTTGCCTACGCCTTTCTCCTTTCCTCAGCCTTTTCAACGAAACTCTATCACGTCTTCCTCTTCCAAGGCGTCCTCCTTGGATTCGCCCAAGGCCTCGGCATGCCGCTATACATGGCCTTACCTGCACAGTGGTTCTTGCGCAAGAGAGGCTTCGCAACAGGCCTCGCCGTTGCCGGTTCTGGGATCGGCGGTGGTATAGGTTCGATCATCATCCGCGTGTTGTACGTGCATAAAGGAAGTGTGAAGTGTCCCCCCACTGACGGTCATACAGGCTCACCCGTCTTGGGCTGAGAAAGGCGATGCTCGTCTATAGCAGCATGAATGGCACGGTGTGGATCATTGCCTTCATGCTCATCAAGGAACGCCGCGCGCCAGGCTTTCGACGGAAGAAACGCTGGTTGCCGGAACGCATCAATGGCCAGTTCTACAGCGTGGCTTTGAGCATCTGCGTTGGGCTCTTTGGATACCTCGTACGATCACATCATCCGGGGTCCCTTGTCGTAACTCAACGCCTGCTTAGGCCCCGTTCTATTTTATCACGACGTACACCAAACGGTTCGTGCCCTCTATTAATCCAGATTCACTTCTGGTTGTAGGTCCTTTGGTGGTTATGAATCTTTGTGGTATGTGCCTCATCTTCGTGCGTATGTGAAGTACCCCACTGAAAGAAACATCACAGCTGGAATAGGACGCGTGAGCCTATCATTAGATTTCCCCGCTTAACAGCGCACTCTCTCTTGAGCTGATGGTTCCACATGACTCTTCTGTTTTATTCGTGACTAGATATCTGCTGGGAGCCTTGCTGACTATCTTGGACCAATCAACGTGTTCTTCCTCTCGTTCTTCCTCGGAGGCCTCTTCCAGATTCTCGTTTGGACGTTCTCAACGACGTACGCATCGATCATGGTGTTCGCTGCTCTCTATGGGCTCGTCGGTTGCTGGTTCATCAGTCTCCTCCCCGTTGTGTGTGCGGAATTGTTTGGTGTGGAAGGGCTGTCGACCATTACTGGCTTCATGATTTTGATGAACGCTCCGGGTTGGTGTTTTGTCTTTCAATTAGAGTCGATCTCATTTTTGGATTGCTTTTTTCAGGCCAGCTTGCTGGATCGTCTATATCCGGGGCTATCCTGAGCCGATCTGGAGAGCGGTGGTGGGCTGTGACGTTGTATTCTGGGGGCATCATGATTTTAGGAGCGTGCTGTCTACTCTATGGTGCGTACATGATATCATTTGGACCCGAGAGCATCGTCAAAGTTCCTCCCTAGCACGCTTTTCGAAGGAAAGACGACTTTTCGCTGCTGTATGAGATGAGCGAGCGAGGTACAGTCTCATCTCCGTTGGTTTCCCCCTTGATCCCCTTTAGGCTCCGTCAAGTACATATTTCTGTTGTTATCACCATGGTGTAAAAGTAGTACATAGATTCATAGAGCTATCATAGACAAGCAGAGAAACGGATAGGCATACATTTTAATAACTTAGATTTCAGAACCAGGACACTCGTCGGCCAAATCATCAATGTCCAGCTAAATGGCTCAAGCCCGGCCCCACACTCGCTGATCCTTATTAGGCTGAACCGCGGCCATTATGATTAGGCTTTGCCGCAATTATGGAGTGAGCGGAGAATAAATTATCGCGGCTCTTTCGCGCTCGGGACCTTCTCCTCACGGATCGCACCAGCACACAAGTTATACAAAATATGTTATATTAGCTTTCCAAAAGCCCACGACGATCGATTTTCGAATCTGAGTGCTCGGCAATTGAATAGCAATTTTTTCTCTTCTTCGCATCTCTTGGAAATTTTATACCCGACACTATTACAATATATCACTACAAAATTACAAAAAGACCGGGGGAAAGATATGCGGGGATGAAGCCACGACTGTGTGACAGCAGATTTTAGTGACAGGGAATGAATAGTATCACCAGGCCAAGAAATATATACATCCTAATACCTAGATTACTTCGTACAACGACGAGGGCTGTAACGTGCTATCTTTGGGGTCGGAGGTAAGGGCGATGGCTCGATACAAAACATCGCTACACTCATCTAGCTCGGCCCACAGTGACTTTTCATGAAATCCGATGAAGGTCAAGTTATCGCGCAATGCATTGAGCGTAGCCGTAGCCTCCACAAGATCGCGTCCGAATGCATCATCATCTCGCGACGCTTCTGCGACCTCCCCAGCAACTTTATCCAGTAGACGATCAGGGTCAGGGTCCACAGGCGCAACCGACGTAAAACTTTCCGTGGACATGGAGCCCAGGCTCAAAATACCAAGCAGTTTTGTCTTCTTCTTCTCCTTGAACTCAACGTGTTGAGCAGGGACAGCAAGCCGAGATACTGTTAACCTTTGCTGCATGATATCTCTGATCCATTCCGGAAGCACGGCACGCATCAGTTCGATCCGGTTGCGCGTGTGCAAAAAGATCACTAGGATACGAAACGTCTCAATGTGCGGAACTCGAATACCGACCCGGGGAAGCTCCTGATGCATACGAGGCGGAAGCTTGGGTTCTTTCGAAAGGTTAGGCGCGTTCAATTTGAACAGAAGATCATTAATCGGCGTTTGGATCGAGCGGGCACAGACGGTACGCTTTTGAGACGCGGTTTCTGAGACCTCTGAAGCATCGACGACGACGAGTACATGAGTTGGTCCCAGAGGTCGAGGGGATATCAACTTGTCTTGGGTGCTCAGTCTGAGGCCAATAGGGTTCCATGGGTCAAACACAGATATGTTCCCTTTGGGGTCCATGACGAGGCGGTTTCTGATGTCCTTGAGAGTTTCCGTTGGGCCTCCGTTTGCAGATAAGACGCGCCGTCGTAAGCCTTCGGTCGCTGAAGTCCCACTAACGTCTGACGAGGACAGAAAGACCGAGGTACGAACAGAAGTCTTCGGTAGTTTCATGCTTGAATCATAGCGCTGATATATATGCAGAGATTGACTAGAACGCGTGTCAGAGGAGCAGAGCAAGCATTTTTTGGATGACCACTTACGCATGGGGTGATGTAGAACGAAGCTTGAGTGTTTCGCGCAGTTCTTCAGTGGTGGCATGACACATGAGTGCATTTTCGCGATCTGGTGCTACCTCCAAGAGATCGGCGCGACTGATGACACGTTCAAGAATGGTGCCATCTGCACTGGTCACGCTAGCAGCAGAAGGAGAGATAAATTTCAGGAAGATGAGAGTAGAAGACATACAGGAGAGGGTCAAGAAAGCATGCCAGATGCAAAATTTTATAGACGCGTCGCGTCGTGATGAAATCCAATGTTTGTCGATATTGTTCGCAAGTCGCAGCACTTACCCTTTGTGGGCACAATAGTGGTCAGTGCACAAGTCTGGATCACCGCATTCCTACCCTTGGTGAGATCATCGCAAGCTGTAACATTACTAACAAGCACTCTCCATTGAGCTGCAGTAGAAGGTAGTCGAAGGTAGAACTGGTGGTGGTAACAGGGACAGACGGAAGCAAAGATGGTGGTTGGTCAACATTATTATTCACACGGGTTCTAAGCGTGGCCCGGCCCTAAACTCGGACCGCTTGTCCGAACTTCCATTTGAACCTTGTCTTGGTACAGTAATATCGGTATACACGACCCCTCTCCGTGTATTTTCGAAGAAATTCCAAGGATATACAATCGCATCATGAACAACAATACCATGTCGGTATTTTTCCATAATTCTTTCATTTTACTTCTTCTAACAGAGACAATTTGACATTTGTAGCAAGGATCGCATTTCTTCTCTACCTCAAGAATTGGCAGATATAATCGTCAACTACTTGAAAGGCGACAAACCATCTCTTTCTTCATGCTCTCTCGTCTGTCGGAAATTATTATCGACAAGTCGAGCCCTCCTCTTTGAGCGATGTGTTCTCCATGCAGGCAATGAATGCAATACACTGCTCTGTTTCCCTGAAACCACACTTCGATGCATCAAGATTCTACGGATACCATCGCCTTTCGCTTCTGTTTCACAAGAAATCCTCAATCATCCTTCTTTTCATCGGTTCATGGCATCCTTGGGACCTCTCGAGCTTGAGGTGAATTCCGATTCCTTTTCTTGGTCGCACCTGAACGACAGCGCACGGGAAACATTGTCAGCTCACCCCTTCCGGAGAATTCAGCTTTACTCTGGTAGCTTTCAGAGCGTAGCCGACATTTGCTTCTTCCTACGCAGTTCGCATAATCTGGAGACGCTCATTCTGGGGACGCTCAAGATAGGGGAAACCTCGATATCACATTGCCCTTGTCAGGCAGGGCCCTCGGTGTCGCATCTGACAGTAAGTTCGGGTGAGGAACGGTTAAGACTGTTTCAGTCTATCATCGCCACGTCGTGTCCCATAACTATCAATGACCTACGGGTACTCGACGTTAACATCTCACATGCTGAAGACCTTGGACTGTTACGGGGGGTGTTGGCCGTGGCGGAGGAGCTGCAAGAACTCAGGGTGTCACATGGGTTTCTCGGTAAGTAGAACGTTGTCATCCAGTGCAAGCCATCCTAACATCCACTTCGAAATCAGAATCCCATGTGGAATTACTTCCTATAGCGGACCTCAACCTGACGAGCATCAAAAGTCTAACCGTCAAGATGTCGGACTATCAGGATCTAGGTTGTCCCGATGTCTATCCGGCTCTTTTTCTATGGTGGTGCGAAGTTTGGGCCAATACCAAAGCAACAAGCATTGAGGAGCTGGTCATCCGATCGACGCTTGATATATACGAAGGAGAGTTTGACACTACTCTGTGGTCTCAAATAGCCAACACACTATCCAGACCACCGTGGAAGACTCTGTCATCGCTAATGATTGTAATCTGTGCTCCTGAGAATGGCTGGTGGGCAGAGTCTCTACTTTCTCCGTACACAAAGCAGATCGAGGATATCATGACTCCTTTAACTTTAACGGAAACGCAGTCTGTGGACGTCGTCGTCAAGTTGTATGTGCTGCCTTTTTATCTTTGCTCTTTACGTGTGTTCATTCATGATTAAAGGAATACAACGAACACTTGGCAGAATATGAATATGGTTATGGCGGAGATGGCTCGGAGGAAGAGGACCATGATGACTCTGGCGACATCCTGAGGGGAGGGCATCCGTTTTATCTGTTTTAGCAGACGAGGGGCACAATTGGTCCAGTCTTTTAGTATTGAGCCCTTGCAACCCAATGCCACCTTCCCTTCCTAGCGAATATGACCGTGATGCACGCTTGTTACTAGTTGGCTATACGCAGCCTTCCCTTTCAGAGGACAAGGCATACGAGTAAGTAGAACTGGTACCTGCCAGTGACGAGATTGAGGACCTCCGAAGCATGTCATCACCCCAGCACTAATCCCAAACTTAAGTATGTCATTTTGTTCGAAGTACGACGTGCGCACCCAGCCAGTGGTCCATCCGAAATTTTAGTATCAGCACTAGTTGGATGATATTTTCTCAGGGTCCGCTAGTGGAGACGCGTCGTGTGCAGAGACGGCCATAGTTACGGCCTTCTTACGGGTTGCGCAGATGCGCTAAAAGGGCCTGGAGGAGAATCACTTTGCCAACGATCCAAGCAATATATCCATGAAGCTCCATGGTATTAGAAAAACAAAGATGTTGGGGTTCCTGAGCACGGCTGCGGCAACTGCCGGACTCGCCTTCTTATCTACTCTTTCAACACATATGACACCCTTGGGGGGGTTGGTTCTCAATGTCTGGGTCACCGGTAGCAGGAAGATAATCCTCGTGTTCAACTCTACCGGAGCGCCGTGATAAGTATTTCTGCATGTCAAGGCGGACAGACACTTTCCTACTTCCACCTTCGCACTTGCCCTCGGACGGACCAGGTTCTGTGGCTTTTCTTTGGCGACTACTCGTTGCTGCTGCTGAGGCTCCTTATATCTTCCTTGGTGCCTCTGAGCTCATGTCATCGGTCGTTAATACCTGTCGTTCGTTGGAAGAGCTTTGTCTTGTCCAAGTGTCGAACTGGGCTCTTTCACTGGATAAGAACTATTGTTCAGATGTGCATGATATTGGATGTGTTCTTTCCAGAAACATCCGAAGCTGTAGATAGATCGCTTCACAGAACTTTGTTAAGGCCCGACTCACATCAGTTGTCAGAGGGTTTAAGTAACAGCATTCTGCTGCGCCAAGGTGAGCCGCAATCCTGTATATTTGCCCTTATATTCACTTATTCCCCAAAGTGATTTGAATATTGGTGCTCCAACGTAACTTATTGGTGTCTACACACTCTTGGACCGGATTTTATACTATACTTTGAACGAGTCAAAGTCAAAGACTGACAACCAAACAGATTTTCCCAATTTTCCGATGCTTGTCACCACTCGACTTCGCCGATGATTTTGTATCATTGCCAAGTCCTCAAGCCTAGCGGCCGGTAGCCTCGTGTCTCCTGAGAGACCATCACGCGGAGAAACACAGCTTCGGGATCTTGTTCATAGATATGATCAATCGAGCTGGCACAGCACCCGAAGGATAGTCTTCCATGGTCTGTGAGGCGTTGGTGATAGTTTGGAGATCAACGGCTAACGCTCAACCCTCTTATTGACGCTAGGTCGGGGAAGAAGATGGTTCCTCGAATATACATCAAAGATGTCAATGGCAGTGTTTCAATCTGGCGCTGCCCTGGATCTTTTTCTTATCAACTATTTCCTTCCGATTGTCGCTTGTGGCGCACAATACCAGTGCATATGCTGCTTCGTAAAATCTTTCTGTCCTGTCAGCATCTTTGAAATTAAGGCCCCACTCGACCCGGGATTGTCGGACGTCCTCTCAGAGCAATGATCTGTGTATGAACGTTCCTCCGAATCCACCATTGACACGCATTGCCATGAAGACAGCGCCCTTGCCGAACTCAGTGTCGAAGCGGATTCGAAGTAACCCTTCGACGCGGTAGCGCGTAAAGATGATGATTTGATTTCGGAGCTGTCCGCTGCTATACAACAGCAACCCTTTATTACCTGAAGCAAGTAGCGAACAGCCTTAACTGTGTGTTGTTGCATTCCTAACCTTCTTGACGTTGCTGCAAGTTAGTTGGTCCCTTTTCCAGCAACAGAACGTGCGTTGTCAGTGGTGAGCTCCTTCCATTATACTATCTGTGAGGGATCATGCCTGGAAACGTTCCATTAGTAGTTCCACGTGTGTAACTCGTTAAGAATTTCAGACGATTTTCATTAAATAAGAATCTCGGTATATGAAAGGATCTAAATGCTTATATTTACTCGAATGAGCACACTTTTATCTGACCACCACGAATTATCTGAGGCTCGAGGCTTGGCCAGTACTTCAACGTTTCGTTACGCAAGCCTTGGCCACGGCAGGCCGAGAATGCCAGATAACCCCGATCGGAATATTTACGACCCGATCTGACGCTGACACATCCCGGCATGCGTAATGAGCGTTTCTCATCATAATGCAATACATTTCTGCTCCTTTCTCCTTTTCTTCTTCCCACCATCATCCAACTCATGGTACTGCCATTTTTCCCATTCCGCACTGCACCTGCATATATATGAACTTTTCGACGCCCCTTCATATCACCTGGAGTTCCAGATTGCAGTTAGGCGCCAGTACTCGCATCATACCCTGGGTGTGTAGGAAATTTTTGCGTTGGGGAATTGGATCGAGCCATTTTCTTCCGCTACGGTGACGGGAACTTTTATAGGGCGCTCATCATACGAAGGTCCAGCGAGTCCGACGGCTCCTATGGCGCCAGTTAATGCTGTGTACGCGGATAGTTATCGGTCGGAGGTTGCGGGCACATCCGATATTGCGACGGCGCTTCCCCACAAGGGCCTGCGAGCACATCTGCAGAGTCTCCTGCCTCGCCACGCTGTGTTTCACGCTCAAATCGAGATACACCAAATATCGAGCGTACCCCTCGTTCATGGAGAGTTTGCGGTGCGATGGAAGCTGAAGAATCTGACGGTGCCTCCTGGGTCGAAGCAAAGCTTGCTGGGGATCGTAAAACCTCGGAGGAATGGAGCAGGGTGCCCCAGTTCGAGCATAGTTGACATCAAGGGTAAGGGCAAGGAGAGGGAGCAGGCAGAGGAAGAGGCGGACTTCGAAGACGATAACGAATCGAGTAGCGCCTATGCGTCTTCCATCTCTCCCGACGGCTCGTCTAGTCTCAGTTCCTCCAGTGATGACCGATCTGTTATGCCCTCACTCATCATTTCTTCGAGCGCCAGTTCAACACATTCCCACTCGTCATCATCTACACCTTTATATTCTCGGCCAGCAGCTCGTGGACAGACACCATTTCTGCCGCTCGTGGAACATTCAGTGACGTGGTCCCAATCACTATCTGTATATATCAAGATACCACTGTCTCGTGACCGTGAAAATCCCGATACTCTCATGTCTAACCCTGCTAAATTTGTTGTGACCCAACGTGTTATCGCTGGGGATCCCGACGCGCCACAAAACCCACGCCTGGGGGCCATCTACCTGGACTTGTCCAAATATGCGGACCCGAGCCTTGGGGAGGTGACGCGTAGATATCTACTCAGAGAGAGCAAGACGAATGCCACGTTGAAGGTACGTGCGGCTTAATCAAGTCATGCCACCTGCTCAGACCAACGGCTGCTTGTTTTAGCTGAGTATCCAGCTCACCCATGTTGGAGGCGAACAGGCATTTATCGCTCCCACATTACCGAAGGGCGAGATCCTGAACGGGGTAGCGGCCTTATTGGAAACTGACGTGTACAGGATCCGACCGCGTGGGTTCAATATATATGGTCAATATGGCGCCTCAAAAGCGCATATCCGCGACCACCACGAGGACGATCCATATGATTCCGATTCCTCCACCACTTCCTCTCGGTCACGCCCACATTCGCACGCTTTCTCTAATCATCATCACCGTCAGTATGAGCAGCAGCAAGGTCGGCAGACGCGGCCGTATGATTTATCAGACCTTCCTCTTGCGTATGCATATGGTCCCAAAACCACCGAGGCGCTCATCGAATCCCTCTTCAATCCACTTGAAGTCTCGGAGAAGACGAGAGTGGAGGGGAGGGAGAGCCCTTTCGTGAGCTACGTCTCTGGCCTGGATGACGAGGGTATGCTGGGCAGGAGGGTCGGCCTGCCACAGGCCGCACGGTGACATTTGTTTGAAAGTAAATTATTGTATGCTATATTTACTTTGTCCTGACTTGCTTTCCGTTTTGGTTTCCTGGATAACTTTTACCTTTCTCTCTAGTTTACGATATATCATGATCTTACTCTATCCAGGATGGCTTTTTCCGCATTTTTCGCATCACTTACACACACGTACACATTATCTACAGAATACGCTCCATGCGGCCGTAATTTAATACTAATTCATTTCCGCATACTCTGAACAACGAGTAGAGTGTATTAGAGAAGATATATCAGTACAGACATGACAGGTAAATCTAAATTATCGGTGTGGCATAAGCAAACGATTAGATACACTAGTCTAAGTAATGTCTTGTTCTATCAATGCACGGGATTAGTCCAAAGCGTCCTGATGTAAAGCGCGATAGCTGTAGTCACTGATGCCGGGCTAGATGAGCCTATGATGCCACACAACAACATACTCAATCACTCACAGGAATGATTGAATGGATGGGAAGGGAATTTTTACCAAGGACGAGATCCGTAATCAACGTCACAACTGATGTTGATGTACAACTTGAGCCCCTGTTCTTCAACCTCCTTCAAGAAGGAAACATCGCTGGCCTGCAACCCATCGATGACATGCTCGCAGACAAGACTCTGCAGTACCTGCAGCGATGGCTGCAAGTCGCATCGTCTTGACCGAATCATATCAATAAAAGTATGATCCAGCAGCGGGTCATCGAACCCATGGTGTACCAAATGAAGATCCTCCAGTCTGGGTAGAACTGCAGACTGGCTCGCTTCGGGATACGTGAGGAACCGCATAAATGCCTCAAAGCTTCCTGGCACCGTACAGGAGAATTCTAGCTGGAGGTCCTCGATGCTAGGGAGATCTAGCAGCATCCTGTGGAGGTTCTCACTGATCTCTAGACCGTTAAGATGAAACTTTCGTAGCGCGCACTGGGAACGAGAGATGAACGAATGGATAATAGGAATAGGCGAGGGAGTATCAGTATGTGAGACACTCAAGACCTCTAGGTTGGGAAGAGTGACGTATCGGAGCGGTGAGACACCCCATGTCTCCACTGAACGCAATGATGACTGTACAAATGGCCCCGGGAGAGGAACATCATTCTCGGGGTCAAGAAGAAGTAGAACCCGCTGCAGATCCGAAGTCTTGAGGAGTATCTGGATCTCGTCACGGTCTGTTCCACAAGCGAGGTTGATGGTTGTCAGTTGGGACCACGGTAGCTTGAGACAGGACGGTGAGCGGATTCCGTAGAGCGAAACTTTCCGCAACCGGGGTGCGGTAGAGAACCCATCAAGAGCATTCTCCTGGATAGACAATCCGCGAACCAGGTAACGGGTGAAGCGGAAATCCAATGACTCCAACAATGGAAGAGAATGCTGTTCGCCTGGGAGGCGACTGGCGAATTCTGGAGTCACGAAGATATTGATAGTTTTCCAGTGGTTGCAATGCTCTAGGATGGCGGACCACATGTGTGCGCCAGGATCAGCCGTCTCGGAATACTCTATCCAGAGAGGGTATGATCGGGTGCGGGCAAGAGCGGTCTGCACTCGGGCAAGGGCGCCTGATAGGAAATGGTCCCGACGACCCGTTATGTGAACTCGGGACCATAGTTGTGGAAAGGATAGGGCAATGTCCCTCCAACGCCCGCAAACTTGGGAGAGAATCCAAGGTGTATCGAAGGAGTGGCACTGCTCATTCATGACGTCGACCCAAACGAAAATGTCGGCCGATATCTCAGGGGGTATTGATAGTATGGGTTCTGAGGCAGAAGGTATAGTGAGAGGTGATGATTCTGTGGCTTGAGACGTCATCCTCTTCTACTAGCAATGATAACTCCGTCAACTTGACCTCTAAAAGAAGAATAAATCGACGTACGATATAGCAACTTTGACCTATTAGAATCTATTAGGGAGGGAATGACCTCAAAGTAAAAGGCTTTTGGGCAGCTAAAACGCGAGGCAACGCGACTGTGTTGCAGTGAATCGTGGTCGTGGTTCAAGTTGCCGAATTGCAGATAACCGAAAATCATTATTACCTAATCAAATCCAGGCTTACTCCAGGCTCTAGCGGGAGCATCACTGCGAAGCTAATCCACGTTGTTGCTGGAGATAACGTTGTACGTGCCTGTAAATTGTTTCTTCGTACACGCACGTTCGCATACATGTCTAGTCCGGCCCCGCCCTTGCTAGAGCGTTTGAACTAGGAAGAATCATTTTATCAGCGCAAAGTCGGCCACATCACTGTCAGTTTCAACGTTACATGGGAGCGACCACGGTTTATATCCTACCCAAGCCTACTATCACAGCAATAGCCAGCTCTAGCCACCTTATCCTCAGAAGCGGCGTCCGGAAACCCTTATTGGGAGTGCCTGAGTCGGCCGTGGCAACTGTCCCACCTGCCAGCGGCTGGTTCCACAGAAAATAAGGCTGTTCAGCATATCCCGAATCGGCTGCGCTCAGAAACGACGCATATCGCCCGTCCTCATCTCCGTAAATAGAAGCGACAGCAGCTATACTGGGGTATATAGTTCGGCGGAATATGAATTCTCGCCGCTAGAATTAGCTGAAGTTCCCATGGTGTAATATAAGGCCATCTTGATGGTAGCACCCGTGGAAGAAGTCTTGTTCCAGACTGGTGAGCTAGAGGCGGCGTATTCTGCAAGATGGGCATTGGTCTAGCCACGTCAGTCAGGACGTCGACACAAACAGATGCGAACACGTACTATCATGGCAGCCAGGTTGTAAGCGCGGTAGCGGTAAGGCCGCGTCCTGGCAGCTTCGAGCGGCGGCAACGTATGAATTCTTAGCCGATGAGAATATACATAGAAGAACGCTCTCACTTGTTCTCCACTAACGTCTATCCGAAACGGATACAGGGCATCGAAATACGCATCTGTGGCATTCCATGCACCTGGAAGATCGTCGACGATGAGCTTTAAAGCTGCTAGTTGATTATAATAGAACGATCCGTGGTTGCTGGACACCGCAAGGTCAGGATCTATAAGATGACACTATATTGACAACATACTTGGCTGACCCTTCTTCTAGAACTATGGCCGCGGACTCCAACCAGGTAATGTATTCACCCGACTATTCCGGCACCTGAGAATCGACTTCCGGGGTATAATCCGCGCTAAGTCCCTACCGAAGAATGAGAATTCCAAATGTAATTTTGGTGAAACACTTGAGGTCACTATGGTGGGAATAAGCGCCCTTATTACAGGTGCTGATGTTGATACCTACAGAATACCGATATACTCGCCGACTTGACCATCAGAACCGCGTTTCATTTGTGCATAATTCAGATTCGGATTCATCCTAGTGTGTTGTTCAAAAACCACACCTTGAGGAAATTAACCACGTTTTGTGAATATAACGAGGTCGGTTGGTCTTGGAACGTATGAGATACGGAATTGTACAACACAGCATCGGCGAGGTCGGAAAATGCCCCAACCACATAATCGTGCATGTCTCCCGAAGGAGGTACAACAGTTTTGTTCATGACAGCTACGAAAAAAAATTGAACTTCGGATTTGTTGCCTCCAGCTGAAGTACACTCACTCCACAGACCCTTCAACGCAAGCTCCAAAGCCCATTGGGTTATCGTTTCCTGTGCATAGCGCGTAGTGGGCAGAAAGTCCCCAGTAGAATACATCCGGGGTCCACGAAGTCATTGGCATAGCTCGGGAAGGCCTTGATAAATAAACCTGTTGCGAGAAACGCGACGAGTGCAGGCATCAGAGGAACGGTTGGACCAGGGCCAAACTAGCAAGAATGCCGAACTGTGGGCGTTCCAAAAGTAGGTCCTTAACGTCGACATACCAAGACCATACTAAAGAGGTCACCCATCGCTACTGGAATTGCGATATATCCGATTCAAAGGCGCCAAGAAGTACTTCATTTACAGACAGGGTGAATGCACCACTGGGCCCACCCAGGAATCCATGGCCGTTGAGTGGTCCAGGTTTCTGCCTTAGAGAAGGGAACATAGATAACGGGATCCCACCTCGCAAATAGATGATAGTGGTAAGAAGGAGCCATCGGGAGTAAGTGGGACGATTCGAATTAGTAGCCACGTGAGTAACACATGGAGAATACTACAAGGGGCATTCCTACTACGCGAGTAATGAAAAAATCGACACAACCATTCTGGAATAGGACCAAAAATCATCAATGTTCATCAATGTCTATTTCCTTCCCTCGATCAATTCGGCGGCCCTTTCTGCTAGCAGTACTTAAGCTCAACGCACTCGGCTTGTGCGGCCTGAAAAAGTGGCAAGCCTGGCCTAAGTCTGAACAAGGGCTCAGCACAGAGGAAAGCCATATCTATCATTATTGTACATAATACGAAAGAAAGTTGTAACTCACTTGAATAACATATTTTATCATTGTGAAGGTGCAACTTACGAGTGAATAAACGCAACTTTTAAGATGCCGCTGTCTCAGCATAGTATGATGTCATCATTAGGGGGGGGGGGGGGGGGGAAGACAAATCGGCAGATTTCCGGCCGAAGTAAGCTCGGGCCGCAGCTTGGCTGAAGCCCATTTATCACTACAAGTTTCTGCTAACTTTTCAAGTTTACTATTGTATAAACTGGCGCCTGGGTACGAAATCACGCATTACAAATAGCTGAAAAGCTACTACTGCAAGTATAACTATTTCTACACTTCCCCGCGTCGCTGGCTCATATTCCAGGTCACTGCCGTACCAAACTCTGCTGTGGCAGCCAATGCCAATTTCCACGTTTTCGCCCATTTTAATGAGGCTGCATAATACATCGCTACTAGTAAACCACGACACAGCGCCCTTGTAGTCTAGGACTCCATGATTTTCCCGAAGGGCTACTTCAGGATCTGGGAACACGAATAAGTACAAGATCGTGGCGTTTATGGCTGCCCAACCGGGTCGTGGAGATAGCCGATCTCAGCGAGAAATTCTGAGGGAATTTGGCCTCACCTAAGCCCCCTTTGCCTCTTGTCCCAACTTCCTGAACACCGATCAAATGAGGCTTATAGAAGTAGGGTTCCCCCCGGAACTAGAAACGACACTGTAGTTTGTGCTCAGTTACCCTCCAAACATGAGGGCGTTCAGACCCCTTTGACTATTTATTCATGTCAAGTTTCTTAGCTCTTGGCAGGCGTATGTATGTCGTGCCTTATTGTTATGGTCCTATGCAGTATGCCAGTAACCTCCTGCGTTTGTGAAAGCTACTGTACATAGAACGGCTGATGTAAAGCGAGTCCGATCCATCATTTTAGAGACATAGACATTGTACTTTGGACCTTTGCCGTATAGCGTACAAGAATTGACAAGTTTTTTTTTTTTTTCGGTGTACATTAATCTCATATTCACCGACAACGCATCGAAGTTCAAGGATGCGCAACCAATATGTCGCCAGCAAGAAGAACACCAGGGTAGATCAGAAGTCCGAGAAAAATGGGTCCGAACATCGATATGAAGCCTGTAATTCCGCGGCAAAATCCATGTTTCTCAGGCAGGCATTCCATTTCTGAAGATCGTACAGACGTACTTGACTATATGGCAGCGATCCCGGCGTACGGACCATAATTTGGCTTAGAGTCCCCCTCTCGCTGTGGTAGATATCATGATGGGGAGGATAGGACTCATGCTCGTGAAGCCAGCTAGTGTACGCGGCTCACAAAACGACGACTCCGATGGCCGTGTAACGCGAACATATGGTTGCGCAATATCCCCTACTTGGGAGAGCATCTTGTGGCAATGAAGGTTCTCATTAATCGTTCACGATACAAATCCCGAGTGCCAGCATTCGTAAGGTAGCAAGTGTGGGTCGTCTGAAACTTCGTGATTATCTGATCAAAGATAGTCAATGAAAAATTAGGAACTCATTTCGCACAAAGAGATGCGAAAAGCCTACCCAAAGCCGGCCTCTTGGTTTGTCTTGTAATCAGACTTGAACCGGTCCCTCTTCTTACGAGCCAAGCCATCTTCAAATTTAGTAGTTCGTGGACAAAGACAAAACATTGACCATTGCCAATTTCTTACGTAAATGATGACTTTGTTACCGACAAAGTCTCAAGCAAGTCAATGCTAGTTGATGGCACCATTGTTCTTTTTTTTTTTTGAACTCATAAAACGTGGGGACAAGAATTGGTATAAAATGACGGCTAGTTTGCTTCCTCCTAACAAAACCTCCTCTCGCCTTTTTCAAGATGGCAGCAGCTCCTTCTACCCTCGTCTTCCTCAAGTTCATCCCAGGGAGCGCACCCTTGGCGTCTGAGGAGCTGCCGCACGAGCGCCCAATCAACAGGTCCATTCTCGCAGACATAGCGCCGGATCGCGAAGATACTCTGAAAAGCCATGCCACTACCACCGAGCAGCTTCGCCAAAGCCTCAGACTCAGGTCTGTATCACCGCAGACGTACGTTTCCTCGTAAGTATCTATTTCTAATTCTTGATGTCTAATTGTGAGGCTTGTTACAGTCAGTGGCTGTATCACTCTATCAGCTGCGATGGTACCAGGGCATTTACCAATTCTGAGTCGGTCGTACGCACTTCAGCCTGGCTAGGTGCCGCCTCATCGTCAGCAAATGGTGGAGATTGCACTGAAAGTGGCGCCGAGTCGAGCATCCGCCTTGTCTCTTCTGGTTCGGATAATAGCACCCAGGCTACCATACCCTGGCCTACTGCAGAACACCCTCTTCTCAAAGATCCGGACAACGCTTTTCTGAAGGCATGGGTACTAAAATCCAACGTTTCGGATGGCCTGTTGATTTCTCCCCGATCATTGGGACCGACACACATCCTTGTGGCTTTCCCCTCGCAGGACGCACCCGCAGGTTCTCAAATACCTGTTCCTGCTCGAGCCCTCGAATTTCCCATCAACGACCTGTTGTTCGTGCTGAATGCGCCGAATCTCTCGCGGTCACCGAGACTTCCGACCCGGTTGCACCAAGAGCTTCCTCGTGTGGGTATTCGAGTTCCCGACGTCGAGACGTTTCGCCACCTTGTCATCTACCTTCATACGCGAAACTTGGGGCAGTTGATACGTGCCATCGTCCCCGAATGGATCAGAGATCTCGTGTATCCCCTGACTACTCTTCCCGCCTTTGCAATGGCCGTGTCTGACGCAAAGGAGAAGAGGAAGCGCAGGTTCCTCGCGATACTGAACGGTGTCGGCCTCAACTGCTCGTGCATGAATGGCGTTGCATTCCGAGAATCGCTGGAGAAGCCGACTCGTCCTAAAGATCTTGCTGATACGGTGGCCCAGGAAATCGCGGAGACGGCTCGTGAAAACAAATATAGCGTTCTTATCAAGTTCACTGCAGCACTTGATGCGTTACGGGCCAATCTCGAGCTTATAGGATACTATGAACAATTGTTATGGAGCGAGCTGGACTTGTACCATGACACCCTCATCCGTGCTATCAGCTTGGAGGCCAAAGTTGGGCAGCGGGAATGGGCAAGAGAGTAAAATATCCTATGAAAGACTTGTTTTAATGAATATAGGCGACGAGATCTTAGGTACTTTTTTAGTCATAGTAATAATGCTCTAATTCTTACGTTTACATGCGCATTAATGGCAGCCGTGCACGAACCATACAGACCTTTCCGCTTGTACATCCCCATCAATCCGCCTCCACCGAACTTCGCAAGAGAAATCGCTAAGGTCCTAATTATCGTCTACGCAAAAGCCCAGATACGCTTCTCATACGAGAAACGAGCTAAAATGGTGCAATCAACTTGAATTACCGACAGCGCGCAGGCACTGTCACTCACCGTAAAGAACACACAGGACGCCAAGCACCGTTATACCACCAGAATACATAGTGACCGCGACCCAGTTATCCCCTGATGCAGAATATATCGCACCAGCTATCGGAGCTCCAGCCATTTGTCCTAACACGGTAAATAGTTTGTAAGATAGCACAGTGAGCTGAACCGGAGCACTCACCGGGTGAATTCATCAGGACCATAAGACCAGTGATCGTCGACAACCCTTGTATGCCGAATAGCTGCCCACAAACCACAGGCAATAGACTGAGGAACCAGCATCCGACCAATCCATTGAGAATCGAGAATACGATGATCGAGGCGTAAGTCTTCGCGAATGTCCATACCAACATTTGGAAAAGGCCCCCAAAGAAAAACGAGGAGAAGAAAATGTTGATGGGACCAAAGTAGTCGGCAAGTCTACCAGCTAGGATCTATGGAAGGTCAAAAGAAACACAGAGAATGACGAAAACATTAGTTGGGAGACAATGCGCTTGTAAGCGGGAAATTCTAATAATGCGCTTACGCGACCAATTCCAGCTGATGAGAAATAATTAGAAGGAGCAGGAAGAACACAGAGAAGAACACGCACCACTGAAATTCATCACGACCAAGGGAATGACGGCCAGGATAGAATCCTTTCCAATCGATGGTACGAACTGCTTGGTGTATGTGGTACTGAAATAATAGGGTGCCTGTTGGTATCTAAGTGTTAGGGCAAAGGGTCACAGATCACTGGAAGGACTAACAAGATAGCCGAAGATGCCAATAAAGACACTGATAGCGACGCTATACAATCTTCCATCCACACGTTCAGGCAACCATCGTTTCCTTTCTTCCGCCTGACCTGGACGGGCTCGCTCTTTCAATAAAAACAACGCAATAATACATATTACAGCATTCATAGAGCTGTAGATCAGCATCGTCTTTCTGAATCCCACCGTTGATAGTCTACAAAATGATGGTGATAAGCAATTCGCAGACACGGAATTGAAACGCTCAGCGTACAATTTGCGGACGATGAGTGAAAAGACGCCACCGCCTATTCCTGATCCACAGACCGCCAGACCAGTAGCAACACCTCTTTTCTCAAGAAACCATTGCGATGGCAGAGACATGTACAGCGGCATCCCTAAACCTTGAGAGAATCCCAAGAAGATTCCTTGAAACAGGAAGACATGATAGAGTTTTGTGGAGAACGCGGAGGCCAGAAGACAAAGATAAGTGAGAACAGTGCTCAGAATAAGGAGCCTCTGTACGGGACGACTATCAGACCCAATGGAAAGAAATGCATAGTGACCAGCAAACCTTGTAACCACTGTGTTAAGCAAGTCGTTATGCACAGAGTAAAGTGAACAGAAAAAAAATGCACTGACTATCGATCTCCCAGGCCGCCTGACAAGTATGCGGTACAGTTCATCAGCTGATGATGAAGCGATTCAATTTGGTAAACAGTCAGGCACTATGTGAGAAACTAACGAAATTCTGAACGCCCCCGGGTAAACTGAGAATGCTAAGACTAGTTTCGGGGAACATGTATGTATGATAATAGTCTTGAAGGACACCCCAAACGAGACCGTATGCCCTGGATGACGATGTCAGAGCTGGCACAGAGAGCGAGGATGAAGTGGAACTTACATGCACGTCGCTGCGAACATGAAGCATCCAAGTACTACTAGCCATGCACGCGTGCCGCCATCGGGATAGCGCCATTCCAGAGGAGAAGACGTGACTTGATCGGTTTTCTCCCCATCGTGAGCATCCTCGGTCTTTTCCTTGGTACCAAACGGACTCGAAACGTTAAGCGTGGCCTGGGATGGTACCAGCAATGCCTCGGCGGGCATATTGGTCTGCACGTTGGTCGGACTGAGGGAAGAGGCCATAGGTGCTTTCCATCTAGGTTTTAGGTCTTGCGAAGTGAAGGAGGAAGCAGGAAATGCAAGGTAAGCACGAGGTCTCCGGTAATGACTGGGACAAGTTTTAGCCTCCTATACGTTTGCACGGACCGGCTCCCGACATTTGGGGATGTTGGTATTGCCTTCCGTGATACGTTCCGCTCGCATTGCCAATGTCAGTGGTCGCCGAGGACAGCTGAACACCAGGTAGGCCAAGATAGAGGGTCTCGCGGCGTGCGGAAGGAAAACATTCTTTCCGCTTCTACATCGGGGGGGGGGGGGGGGGGGTTAGTATTGGCGCCGATAAATCCGCCAAGGGGAAATGTGGGGCCCCACCTTTTGCTAGCCCCAACAGCGGGGAAATTGCATTCGAGAACATGTGCACAATGGTAAGTCTACTTGCATTTTGGTTCGAAGCCTGAACTCGGCGCTAAATCGCAGTTTGCCGCTCATAAGCTGCTTGGCAAATCGGGCGGCATAATAAGTGCCGGTGCCTTAGAAATGGGGTTAAGTCTCAATACGGATTACGGAGGACAGTACCACGTTCGTAGGGTAATATCTTTGTGAATGTGTTCGAGGCAACTATTAGTACTGCTCCGCAGTGTTGTTCCCCCATTCTGCGTGCAAAGACGGCGAATGAATTCGGTGAGGTATCTGAGATCGAAGATGGCTTCCACGTAAGGCCTGCGAATGGAAACTCGGATATCTGTCTAGACAGAGTAAAAACAATACCGCTTCGGAGGTGATCTAGCTCCCACTGTCTACGGTGGCTGTCGCAATAGACGGTGGATCGTCTGTGAGTAGCAGGCAGGCAGTTCGGGTGGGCCCCTCGCGACGCCAATGATGCATACAACACCGTATTCCAGCCCTGACGGACATGTAGCTTCGCCTTCTAACCAGAGGAAGGCAGACGCATTCATTTGTTTGACGTATCGCTGTGATTCAGCTGCGGAACTGTGAATTTGATGGACCGTCTTTCACCGCCAGCAAGAGATGCCGTACGTATTGCATAAGCAGTAGTACTAGAGTTCAGTGTTACATTCGACATGCCAGCGATGCTGGGAAACCCACCCAGAGAGAGGTGATAGTCAGTTTACCGCCGATTCTCAGCCCTTTGAAGAGGAGCCTGTACTCTTCTTCGACCCTGAAGACCTGAGTACTGAATACAAGGAATGAAAGAAGACACATTGATCATCGTTTATAGCAGCTAGCTCTCATCCACGCCTTTTCGCAAATGAAGGCCGAGCCTAAGCGCATGACTGATAGAAACACTAATGAGCAAGATATTAAAAGAAAGGGAAATCAGCGAAATGCACAGATCTCGGTTGGATTCCTTCCGTAACGTCGACAGTGAAGTGAAAACCTAGAACTGTTCAAACTGAAGTCCGTTCGGTTTCGGTCCGAGAAACAACGTAAGACAAATGATGGAAGTAGTGCACCCCACAGGCATGGCTCCAGAAAACTCTCAGAGTGTTCCGCCTTTAGCTTTAGATTGCGACCAAGTGCAGGAGAATTCAGAATTCGTAAGCAAGTCGCGAGCGGGACCGGCAGCTACTTGCCGGAGGAGCCGAGGAGCCAAGTAGCCACAAACAACGCTTTCTAAGTAAATTTATTTCTTTCTTCATCTCCACCACGTCCTTCCAAGGCAGAGCTTATTCTGACGACAAGAATGGTTTATAGACCTTTTTGTGTTGCAGTGAATGCATTCTGAAAATTCTTCCAGGCTTCTCTTCAATTTTGCAAAGAATGCAATAATCTTCTCTATCCCAAGGCGGATCAACAACGAAGAGTTATGGTCTATGCATGCAGAATATGCGCTTATGATGACGAAGGAGACAATCAATGTGTTTACAGAAACGATTACTTGACGGTTACAAAGTGCGTCGCTATTTCCTAATTTTGGTCCAGAGCTAATGTCAACGGCGCTTTTAGAGAGCAAGTCGGTGTCACGACTGACCTTGGAACTGACCCAACGCTGGTGCGTGTATTGCTTGCGGACACACCCTGATCAATCACTATATCTGCCAGGCTCACTCAAACCTTCCCTGCCCCCAATGCGGGCATGAAGAGTAAGCTTCATTTCCCAGGATTTCCAGGGCCACCGGTGGTGACGAATTGTTCTGTTGCAGTGCCGTCTTCTATCAGGACCAGTCGAAGAGAAAGGAGACTCGCATGATTCTCTTCTTCGTCTGTGTCAAATGCAATCATAGTTTCACGGATCCTAGTCTGGCCATTGATAACAGGCCAGATGCGGCAGGCGATGGTTGATTGAGGTTGTGTTTCTTCTTTCTTTCCCTATAATTGGGCCCGTGCCGCACATGCGCCCGGTGTATATTAGACATGTAAAATTTCATTCGGCTTTCTAGCGGCTGATTTTTTAGGTGAGATCGTTACGGCGTCGCTTTTGAAACACCGACCTTGCTACTGTTGTACAACGCCGTTCCACATTTCCAGAGCTTTCCTTGTCCTCTTTCCCCCCCCTCCCCCCAAGTATGCCACATGTGTGTCTGTGTATCCGCTCTGGTATTAATTACCATCTGTCAAACAGGGCATCTTAATGTAACAATCATGCTTTCATCTCGCTTCGTGCCAACCCTACAATCTGCGATCGTGCCGCCGGCTTTTTTTAGCGACACGGCTAATCGCGAACATCGCGTCCTCTTTTGTGTATTCTTAGGTTATCGCCTACTTCTCAAGTCACGAGTAATTTTGCCGGGAGTTGGCGTCTGGCGGGGTTTATAAGTTGCAGGCCCGGTATAAAACCGTCAAACGTTCTTGTGTCGTCAGGGAAGTAGCCGTGCCATGCAGACTTCACCCTCTGTGGATACAGAATGTCCTGATGATGCGAACCGCGAGATGAGCGATCCAGGATCCAAAGTGGAAGAGTCTTTCGCTAGCGTGTCTGAAACCTTGTCTTTCCCCGAAGGTGGATTGAGAGCGTGGAGGACGATTTGTGGTGTGTATGTATGGTTGGTTTTTTGATGCTACAAAGGTGAAGAACTGATCTGCGTCTCAGCGCTCTTGTTCAATTCTCCACATTTGGGTGAGTGTTTGCTTATCACCTCACCAAACCGTGGGATGGCTGAACAGACATATATTGGACCAGGTATACAAATGCTTATGGTGTTTATAATGGTAATCTCCTCCTCGTCAAATATCGCGCCATTCATTTCATTTTTCTCTAGACTACTATGTGCGAGAGTATATGATAAACATATCATCGTCTAAGTTGAGGTAACGAGCCAATACTGTGTCGTCTGCAGAATGTCCTCTCACGATGAATATCCCGTCAGTTGGATTGGCAGCGTGCAGCTCATGCTTGTGCTCTCCGTTGGTCTCTTCAGCGGAAGACTATACGATACTGGGTACTTGTGAGCAATCTTATTTCCTTAAGGTTTCCGAATCATTATTCTTTTGCTGACATGTGTGTTCTTTAGCTATCATCTAATGATAGGCGGTGCCTTCTTGTTCGTTTTCAGCCTCTTTATGCTATCACTAACGAATCCAGGACAATTCTATCAAGTCCATGTGTTTCCCCCCCCCTCCGTTGCAAGCTTTCTGATGTATACAAAAGGTTTTTCTCTCCCAAGGTATCGGAGCCGGCCTCGCGATAGGCATCATGTACATTCCGGGGATTGCAGTGGTATCGCACTATTTTCAGCGTCGTCGAACGTTTGCTATGGGTATCGCGACTACGGTAATCTTCCGAGGTATCGTTACGATGAGCGACTGATGAGAGCTCAGGGCTCCGGCTTGGGAGGCACCGTCCAGCCAATCATGTTGAACAAGCTATTTTATGGCCGTGTGGGGTTCCATAATGGTGTGAGAATTAGCGCGGCGTTCAACGCCGGGGTCTTGATCATCGCTTTGCTCCTTATGCGCACGAGGTTGCCCCCTACCCCAAGGAAAGATGGCAGCACGCTTTTGCATATGCGGATGTTCTTCCGGGAGGGTCCGTATGTTGCTACTGTTGTGGGGTAAGCATTTTCTCTTGTTGGTTGGCGGGTGGCCACGAGTTCCTGACCAGTTATGCAGAACGATGCTTATCCTTGCTGGCCTCTACTTTCCCATTTTCTTTCTGCAGTTGATCGCTGTCAAAAACGGTATCAGTGCTGACTTGGCGTTCTACTTGGTCTGTCATTTTTTTTTTTTGCTTTTACCGCCACCTCGAACCCCATCGTGACAATACGACAGCTACCGGTACTTAATGCTTTCACGATCCTTGGCCGAGTTATGCCTTCTCTTTTCGTTCATCAAATGGGGATTTACAACTTCATGATACCATGCGTAACATCATGCGCCGTACTGATATACTGCACGTTGACTGTGAAAACAGTTGCCGCGAGTTATATTATTGCCCTTCTTTATGGTTTCTTCGTTGGTGCATGTAAGGGTCCATTACTTGGCCCGGTATACTGTGAAGACTCATCCGGTTTTTGAACTTAGACGTCGGCTTCCTAGCGCCCATGGTAGGTTCACTGGCTCGACGAGATTCAGAGATCGGAGCGCGCATGGGCATCTGTTTCACGTTCACTGGTGCGTCGCTTGAGTTGATTTCGAAAACCCCCTCCTCCTACTCCCGAAAACCCTTATTCTCCCCCTTGCAGGTTTCGGAGGCCTCGTGGGTACGTTACCCTGCTAGTAGAGGCAGATATATACCAAGTTTACACACGCATAGGAAACCCCATTGCTGGAGCGCTGTTGACTTCATCTTATATATGGTGGCGACCCAGCCTCTTCGCTGGTTTGTGTGTCACTTGTGGGGCCATTCTGTTCGCGTTGGCGCGCTTCGGGGTGGCCAGGCAGAAGGGGACTCGGAGAGTGTAGTTCTGCGAAGCACGTTGGAAAAAATGATGGCCGCCTAGGCCTTGCATGTGATCGAGTGAACATGTATTTATTTATCTATAGACTTTTTCGCCGTAGGAAAGCCCTTTAAGTTTGAGCCTGATGGCCGGAAGTAAAAAAAGCCTGATGGAAGTTTTTGCTCAATTCCGCAAGTCATTCTTACTGGGAACAGTTTTCAAAGGTGTGGAGGATCAGATACGAGGATATATCTGCCACACCAACATTAACGAAGTTCTGGTGTTCCTTCCTTTCTGTTACAAGTCAGCCTATGGTCTGATACTTTTACCTGACATTTTTCTCCTTTCTGTCATGATTTTTACCATGATCTGCCAATGCTTAGTAAGCACAACCCCAACCCAACTTCACAAGAATGACAATATCATGATGACACTATAATTATGTCTTACTCATCAACACACAATAGCTGACTGAAAACAATGCAACAATGGTTATTGTCTCATGCCCTTATCACAATAGAAACTGCAGCATATGAGAAACTCACCATAGTGATAGTACAGCAGAGTGACAATAATAAACAAAAAGCAAAAGCATAGTTATTGTCACCTTAAACAATAAGTAAGAAGCATGGAGACCAGACAATAGTCATCTGTAGGGCTAAGGGCTCTGTAGACAGTATTTAAGGCAGTAGTACACCCTGATGTACTCTAGTCTTGAGCTAAGGTTTAATACACCTACTAAACTCTCTGACTATCTGGTGTAAATACTCTTGCCCATCATAGCAGACTATCTCTATCAGCCATACTCTTTCATCCCCCTTCATGAAATTCTAATTGCTTATCTCATCATTCTCATCATACTCTTATACTAACAACAGACCCAGAACCAGAACCCAGACTCAGACCCTGACAGAAGTGGTGCTAAGCATTTGTGAGTGTTTGGTAGAAGCATAACATTTTTCCTCATCTCTCTGACTTGGCCTGTACTTGTCATTCCAACAGTATATAAAGAGCTAGTACACATAGTGTAGCTCAGGTTTTTGCAATCAACCAGCCTTTATGCCTGTCAAAAATATGAGAGGGTGGGCCTCTCATGAGAGCAGTTGTTATGCCCAAGTATCACGTGAGCAGAACACATGATAAACGTGTGTCTCTTTGCACTTCGAGAGATCACACGAGTTTACTGGCTGTGTTTAGGCTTATTGTGTCACAAGGTCAAGAGAATGACTCAAGGTAGAATGGTGAAGATAAACTTTAGCTCGAAGCTGGGGTTAGCCAGCGAGAGCTGTAGGTCTTAAATACTATACAAGCGATGTTAATAATATCCATTACTCTTTTGTCCATCTGTGTCTATGGTGCTCATTGTCCTTGAGCATCATTACTGTACATAAAAGGATCCTTGTACTCGTCGAGCATTGTTGTCTTGTTTATTGCGACAGAGGAATTGGTCATGCTTCCCACTGTCCTGTGCCCTTCTGATTAATCCAAAATAGAGGTAAAACATAGAAAAGAGATGAAAGAAAGAAAAAATCATAACATTACTCCCTTCTTAAGACCAGCATCTCGATGGTTTAATTAAGGGATAATTCATAGTCATGTATGGCTTTATCAGTGTTCATGTGCTTTTCATTTATCCATTGGTTTGACTCTGGCCCATATCTCTTCCAGCTGACCAGGTAATCGACGGTGGTTGTCGTTCTACCACCCCGTGCTTTGACCTTCCTGAATTTGTGGTTTAGGATTTGATCGATTTCATAGTGTTCTTCATCGTTGATCAGTTCGGGAGGTGGTGATGGTGGCTTTTCCTGGTTAGAAAAAGCTGGGGCGATGTAGGGGGATAGTAAGGCCTCGTTAAAAATGTTGTGGACCTTCCAACTTTATGGTAGACGAAGTTTATAGGTGGAGAGACCTATTTTTGAAACGATTGGGAAAGGTCTCATTCGTTTATTGGAGAGTTTCTGCTTGGGGCGAGAGAGATGAAGGTTTCTGGTATCTAGCCATACTTTGTCGTTAATGGCATACGTGTGTGCTGGAATACAGTGTTTGTCATATTGTTTTTTCATAGTTGTCACCACTTTTTCAAAGGCGGCTTTAGTTTCGGCATGGATTTTTGTGATTTCAGTGGCAAAGTCTGTTGAAGCAGGGGTCGTTGCTTGGGAATGCGAGGAGTGGACGATGTTGGGGTGTTGCCTGTAGTTTACGAAGAAGGGGATCTTCCCCATTGCTGAATAGACGTGGTTATTATGTTGGAATGCCGCTAATGTGAGCCATTCAATCCAGTTGTCTTGTTGATAATTAATGAATAGGTGGAGATATTTTTCAATTTTCTGGTTTGCTCTTTCCATTTGTCCATCTGTTTGTGGGTGGTAGGCTGTAGAGGCATTGTATCGGATGTTCAGGATTCTGTACAAGTTGTCAAGGAACTTCGAGATAAATTGTGGTCCTCGATCAGAGATGACAACTTGGGGCATCCTGTACTTGGCATAGACTTCGTCATGGAGGATTTTTGCCCAGCCTTCCGATGTTAGTTCGGTAGAGCATGCCACAGGAATGATTGCTTTGGAGAAGCAGTCCATGATGACGATAATGGCATCATAGCCGTTGCTATCTGGGAGTCCAGTGATCATGTCAACGGATATGTGGGTCCATGGGAATGAAGGGACTTTGTTGGGATGTAGGGGTGCTGCATATGGCTGAGTCGAGGTTTTTTCCTGCTGACATATTTCACATGCTTTGATGTAGCTCACGATATCATTTCCCATCTTGGGCCACCAATACTCTCGGAGAATTAACTCCTTTGTCTTGGCGATGCCTGGGTGTCCAGCTGTCGCGTGATCATGACAAGTGGCAATGATTTCTCCTTGTAATTTGTGATCTCTGAGGATGTAGATCCTTCCATCATAATAGATCAACCTGTTTTCTTTTACCATCCCTCTTTCATGATTTAGAAATGGTGCTGCTCTCTGGTCCTATTTGTGGCTATCGTGCATTGCACTTTTGATTTGTTTATGGATTTTCTCCTCGGTTGGCATGATCATGGCCTGGAAATGTTTGGGTTGTAGGATGGTGACTCCATTGTTATTATTTCCCTCTTGGTTGTGGTCAGCATATCGGAAGAGGAGATCAGCCTTTTTATTTGCTATATCTGCCTTATGATGGAGGGTGTATTGGTATTGGGCGAGTTCTGTTATCCACTGGGCTTGTTGACAGTTCAACTTCTGTGGTTTGCAGAAGTATCTTAGGTTTTAGTGATCCATCCAGATCTTAAAGACCTCGACTGCCCTGATCAGGTAGTGTCATCATTCCTTGAGGGCTAGCATGATCACCAATAACTCCTTGTCATAGATTTTATAGTTTTGTTCTGTCACTGTCAGGGCCTTGGATAAAAAGGCAACAGGCCATCATTTTCCATCTTGTTCCTGTGACAGAACTGCTCCAATGGCTCCTTCACTGGCATCGGCCTCGACCTGAAATCTTCCATCCTGTGATGGTATGGCAAAGATTACATCTTCGCCAAGCCGCCTTTTCAAGTCTTCAAACACGAGCTGCTGGAGGCCTCCCCAGGCCCAGGGTGCATTTCTGGTGAGCTGGGTCATAGATCATACCACCCTACTGTAGTCACGAATGAATCGCTGATAGAAGTTGGTAAAACCAAGGAAGGATTGGAGTTCCTTCTTATGGGTTGGCATCAGCCAGTCGGTTATCCCATTTACTTTTATGGGGTCTATGCAGATACTTCTCTTGCTGATGATGACCCTGAGATATTCGGTTTCTAGAACCTCAAACTCGCACTTCTCTGCTTTGAGGAAAAGCTTGTGTTTCCTCATTAATGCCAGAACCTGTCATACCAGCTGTCGGTGCTCCTTCTTTGTTTTTGACATGATGAGAATGTCATCCAAATAGATTGTAACCTTCCCAGTGGCGATGAGATTTTTGAAAATATTGTTCATCATCTATTAGAAGGTTGCAGGGGAGTTGGTAAGACCGAAGAACATGATGGTCGGTTCAAATAACCCATAGTTGGTTCTGAAGGTGGCCTTCCATTCATCTCCCTCCTTTATTCGGACATTGTTGTATCTCCAGCAGATGTCTAGCTTCGTATAGTATTTTGCCTCTCATAACTTGTCCATCAGTTCCAAGATTAGGGGCAATGGGTACCGATTTTTGATAGTCATTTCATTCAGTTTTTGGTAGTCCTATACTGGTCGAAGTTTTCCATCTTTCTTTTTGATGAAGAAAAATGGTGACGCTATTGGGGATTTGGAGGGTCGAATGTGTCTATTGGCTAAGTTTTCATCTAGGAACTTATCCAGTTCTTGTTGCTCCTAATTGCTGAGAGGATAGGTTTTGCAGTCCAGATTGGTGTTTGTATTGGGGATCAGCTCAATGGCATGGTCCCAGGGCTTCAGAATGGGGAGCTCATCGAAGCTCTCCTTTTCAAAGAGATCACGGTAATCCCACATCCATTCTGGCACCATCTCTTCGAATGTTTTTTCTTCTCTTGCTTCGTTCACTTTGGCTGCTAAGTTATTGGCATGGTGGATCACACGAATGTGGATTTCTTTTTGTAGGTCCACCACCAATATGGTTTCTCCATCTTCCATCTCCTCATCCCATCTATCTTCGGGATCTTCATCAGGTAGTTCAAACGGGGTCTTCCGACACTAGCACCTGGCAAAGGTAATTTGCTCACTTTTCCAATTGATAAGCAGGTTGTGTCGTATCAGCCAATCATGGCCGAGGAACAACTCTTTTGTCCTGAGGTCAGTCACTGCCAGGTCTATTCACTCAGAATGATCGCCGATAGTTAATTGGAGTTCAACGAACTCAGTGATTGATCCGGTCTGGTTCTTGGTTCTGTCGGCGTTATAGACTGAGATGGGAGCAGCCATTGATCAGGTCGGGAGATGATGTTCTCTGATGAAGGCTCAGTTTATCGAGCTTCTAGTACATCCACTATCGATCAGGGCTGTTACTGAATATTTGATTCAGGAAGTGAGGGTTTCAATTTGTGCCTTGGTCATCAGGTCCCTCTCTGGGTTTTTGATATGGCAGATGAATCTTTAGGGCCCATGTAACTCATCTAGTCATTCGAGGGCTTTACTCCTATTGGCATTTCGGAGCCCCTCTATAGTTTCTTTGGTCACTTCTTCTCCTCTTGACTGATGTATCTATGCCTTTAGGGCAGCCCTGGCAGCGTGGTCATCGCCAGCTTCCCTGATGGCTCTCCATGTCCATTCTGTGTCGAATGGTTTAAGCCAATTGGAAGGGCTCTCTACCCTTGTTTGGCCTATGGGCACTTGAGTTTTTTCTTTCTGCGATTCATTGGTGTAGTGCTGGATTCGGAGTATATTCAAATGCGTAGGTACAGGTGATATAAGAGTAGCTACAGAAATATCATAAGTCCACTCAGCGGGAGGGGCAGGCACACCATAAGTTCTTTTGGCCAGCTCAGTGGAATCGCTCACTGGCCAGCCTCATCTTTTACTTCCTCTACTTTTGTTTCTTTTCTGAGTGCTTCATCTTCTTTCTGCAATTCCACAATTTGTGCTCAGATGTCTTCACAGGTGCATCTCTTTTTTGGGCAGTCCTTGGCCATATGCCCTTTCTGGCCGTAATTGAAACACTTCCCTTCCTTTTTCATGCAGTTTATATCCATGGGTTTATCTGCACTGGTGTATGTTGTTCTGGTCTCTATCCTTTGGCTCTCATAGGTTGTCATTGTTGGAGTTTCTGATGGTTTTCCGGCAGTTTGCCCAGACTTGCCCTGAGTTGGCAGGGTTGGCTTCCTATAATCTTGCAAAGTCGACGATTCCGCTTTCTGTCTTTGCTGCTCCTTGTACATCTCAATGATCCATTCCTTCCATTGGTCATAGCTAACGGGTATTAATAGTTTGACATCCATGATGGCGATCATCATGAGATACAAAGGGGGAACTCCTTGTTTGAGTGCCTCTACCATTCACCTGTCATTTGTGACATCTTTCCTAATTCTTGCTAGTTTGGTGAGCCTTTCCAGCTTGTCAAAGTAGTCAGTGGCGGCCTTGTCTCTCATCTAGTATTCTTTGATCTTCTGCTTGTATACCTCTTAGACAGCAGGATCAATAAACTTATTGTTTAGCATTTGTTTAAACACCGGCCAGGAGGGATATCGGTAGTGTCCTCTCGTGGTCAATCAGAAGTTCGGGGAGATGAGGATCCACTATGTTTTTGCCTTCTCTTCTAAGTAGGAAGTAGCGAAGGTGACCCGGTTCATGTCAGTTCCTAAGAATCTGATGTATACTTCGAAATATTATTCGCAATCGACCAGGAAGCAATCGATGTCGTCTGATACCCCTTTGAAGAGATGGGGTTTCTGAAGAAGGTCCAGTCGACATTGGAGAACATTGACGTTCTCTGGCAGGGCACCCATCAGGTTTGGCCATTCATTGAAAGACGGTTATCGCCATTCAGTGGGTGGCCCAGAGAATGAATGAAGGGACTGGTCATCAGCAACAGGACTCCCCTTGAGCTCCTCGATGCAGACGATTACCTCATCTCGGATCGTAAATCCTAGGTGGATGGCTTCGGGGTCATCCTGCGTGGGCTTTTTCCTGCTGGGTCCTGCCTCATTGGGCAGTGGCTGTGCTCCTAGTAGTCAGCTACTCTTGCTCGTCCAAGGGTTTTCGAATCCCTGTGGTGTCGTTTGACATAGTCATGCTCAGGTTAGATTAAGCCGAGAAGCCATGCTTCGGATGGAGGGGCTTCCAGTTTTGGCGATACTCAATGCCGGCAGTGCCATGTAGATGGCTCTCCTCGGCATGACAGGTGGGGTCTGGGGCATTGGCCAGACGATGGTTTTCGGTTGGAATGAGGGCATCAGCCCAAGAGGATCCTCAGGATGCTGGTTCCTGTATTCCCTCCAGGCATGTTCTGTCGCAGCATACTGTAAAATTCGTTTCTTTTCTGTTAGATCTGCATACTGGTACTCAAGTCTGAGGACAGTCGCTAGCCAGCATGTGTCCCTCCATAAAAACATCATTCCTTGCTCGTATAAGTCCATGTACTCCTTCTGCCTGCTTCTTTTGATCTCTTCTCTCAATGCTTCTTCATCGATTTCCTGCATGACATAGTCCATAAATTGCAGAGAGTTAAAGGGGCCCTCCTTGTCGCCCTCGCTGTCCTCATTGTCCTCCTCGCTGTCCTTGTTGTCCTCACTGTCCTCACTGTCCCCCTCGAGGAGGGAGGTGGTGAGCAGGTCGGAGATGGGTGGCTCAGGCCTCCATATTGTTGACAGAGAGCTCATTGACATTGCTGGGCCCGGCGATGCTCTCCGAGGGGGTGTGATGTATGGAGACTGCTGAGACTCCATAGTACCGGTTGCTGCCCACTGCTCTTGCTCTCTCCAGTTCCTCACTATAGAGGCCGAAGTTTCGGTAGAACTCAGAAAGAAGGAACTGGTGGGCGATCCACCCTCCCAGGAATCGTCGGAGGGCGAAGTCGGAGACATGGGCATTGTCTGGTATGCAGAGCCTGTAGGCATCAAGGATGGAGTCTGCATCTGTGGCAATTGTATCAGTATGGCTGGGGTACCATAGAGAGTTGTTGGGAGAGTCTGGTCGTTCTTGATGACTGGCTCTTCCTCTGGGAGCAGGACTTTCTGGTCCTGTCCAGTTGTCATTGTCAGAGGGGGGTTCCTGGAATGGAGACTTGGATCCCAAGGATCCGAGCCTGTACTATGCGAGGGACGTGGATCTGAGTTGCTCTGCATTCTCTCTCCTCCTTCGCTCATGCCTCTGGCGATCATACTCGTCTTCCTCGTACTGTTGCTGGGCTTCTTCCCATGTATATTCGGTGAGCTCTTCATGGGCTCGCTCTTCTTCTGCTCGGTGCCTTTGGGCCTGCTGCTGCTGCTGTACAGCATCATTATAATCGAATGGGACCGTGAGGTTCCAGTCTGAAAAAACCCTCTGGATGATTCTGTCTCTAGCAGCCCTCCCCCTGGCACTAGCGGTTCCTTCCTCTGGCTGGCTTTCAATGTGGAGATGCCAGTATGGGTCCTTGGCTGCCGAGATGGCAATTTCGACGTTGGCATAGTCAGGGTGGATAGTCCTTCCATGTGGATCTTCGAGCCCCAACCTGCTGATGGACTGGCTAGAGCCAGAGTTTGGCTCGGTGGGATTGTAGGGAGAGTCGTGGGGTGAGTTGGGGGCAGGCCTGGCTCTCGAAGCCATCCGAGAGGCATCATGGGAGTCTCTAGCATGGTCTCCAATCTCTGGAGTACGAGAGGCGGTGGTAGCATTACTGGGGTTTGCAGAGAAGTCATTGGTGACCTCCTGGGAGACCTGGGGGATTGTTGTGGTCCATGGGTTTCTGAAGCCTGCGAGATTAGAGTTCTGGTTTCTGCTGTTAGATCGTCGAGGAGGGTATCAGTATCTTTCTTCTTCTTGAAGGCTCTCTGGATCCAGGCTGCTATGCCTGGCTTCTGGTATGGGAAACTCCTGCGGCTGAAGGGTTGTTCTAGCAGAGAAGGGGATGTCATAAAAAGAGAGGTCCAGGGTTACGTTTCTGAGGATTTGTCAGATTTGTTAAAATGCTTGGTAGTGCCTGACAATCCAAGCAGTGATCGATTGTCGTCCTTGGCAACAAGTGATAATGACAAGAAGACTTAACAGCATTCCAATGATGGAAGCTATTAGTTCAAAAAAGTCATGGTTTAGTTCAGAGGTTGTAGCTGGGGACATTCGGTTTCTCAGCACAATTGGGCTTGAGAAAGGGAAGGGTAAGCTTCGAGCTAATTGTTATGCCCAAGTGTCATGTGAGCAGAACACGTGATAAATGTGTGTCTCTTCGCACTTCGAGAGATCACATGAGTTCACTGGCTGTGTCTAAGCTCATTGTGTCACAAGGTCAAGAGAATGACTTGAGGTAGAATGGTGAAGATAAACTTTAGCTCGAAGCTGGGGTTAGCCAGCGAGAGCTGTAGGTCTTAAATACTATACAAGTGATGCTAATAATATCTGTTACTCTTTTGTCCATCTGTGTCTATGGTGCTCATTGTTCTTGAGCATCGTTACCATATATAAAAGGATCCTTGTACTCATCGAGCATTGTTGTCTTGTTTATCATGACAGAGGAATTGGTCGTGCTTCCCACCATCCCATGCCCTCCTGATTAATCCAAAATAGGGGTAAAATGTAGAAAAGAGATGAAAGAAAGGAAAAATCGTAACAGCAGTGACTTTTACCACCCTTTTATATTTTTGACAGGTGTAAAGGCTGGTCAATTGTGAAAACCTGAGCTACACTATGTGTACTAGCTCTTTATATACTGTTGGAATGACAAGTATAGGCCAAACTGGGGAGACAAGGGAAAGGAGAAAAATGTCAGGTAAAAGTATCAGACTGTAGGCTGACTCATAACACTTTCCTTTCTGCATCCAGATGCAAAATGTTTGACTTCAACCAACTGTACCTTGTACTATCCAAGACAGTCATGTCATGGTCATCCCTTCAGAGGCTCATCCCATTTACTACTACCAACTGGACTGAGTGGCCAATGACCTCTGAGTCAGTGTAGGTGACATGGCATGGTGTGTCTTGTCAGTCAATGCAGTGGGCCTTGCAGCATATGCACACTTTCATCTTTCCAGAGCAGAGGCCAACTGACAGTGATTTTCTGAGGCCATTGCTGGTGTTGTGCCAGATCCTATTGAGGCTATTCCTCAGGGGACCCCAGAAATGTGCTCTCAGCCTTATTGTTTGTGCTAACTCAGTGCCTGTTGCCATCTTTCCCAACAAGGACAAAGCATGTTCTGTATTGCTTTCAAAGGCAGAGGTGTTGCATCAGTCTCTCAGTGTGGATAGAGGCACAGAGTTTTTTTCATCACAATTGATGCACAGCTGGGTGAGCTCTTCATTCTCCGGTCTTTTAGTCATCTTACCAGCTGTCTCTCTAAAGTATGCTCTACTGATCCGTCTCATCCAGTACTCTTTTTACTTCTTCCACCAGTCTCCAAAGTCCAAAAAGAGTTCTTCTGAGCCGTTTCTTGCAATAAATCGTTGTCATACTACACCCAATCGACTTCCCCACCTGTATTGAACCCAGGCAGGCAGTTCTATACCGCGGACGGCTGTATTTATCATGAATGTGACTTGGAATTCATGGATTCATTCCACATCTTCGAAGAGTCAGTCCTACAGGCAATTCTCCCGTTCGAGGACCGAAGACCACGGACACGGAAACGAACCGGGTATCGAAAAAAGAGGTGAATTTGCAAACCGGAAGAAGAAGTCCTTCATCCAATCGACCGGATATGAAGCCCGTAAAGCCCGTGTGCGGTATTCTCTCAAGAATGAGAAGATCTTGGATTCCAGCACGGTCAGCGGTCTGCGCCACGTTCCGTGGTTCAAAGTCACCATGCAATAATACACCCAAAGAATGTAGCTCGATCGCCGAATCAATGAGCTTTTGCCTGAAAGGTCCTCAAGAGACAGGGCGCGCCTCGCGGATGAAGCGCTGTGCTCCCGGACCCTTGCGTTCAGGCCAGACCATTCCGTCGCGCTCACACCCCCTCTTTACATCGCTCCAATCTATGCCATAGACTTCCTCTAGGCTGTCCCCGACATTCTCCAAGCAAGAAACCAAACCAGCCAGCAACAGGCCTTTGGAACAGCTCTCAAGTGCCACCTCACACATATACGGCTCCCGCAAAACCATGACCGAGTGGAAGTTCCGACACAAGCTTCATGACGCGCAACTTTTCGTCACCTTCGGCATGGCAGGTTCATCGACTGGACCGAATCTGTTCTACGAGAGTCACCGTGTCAACATTCGTGGACGGGATACGAGCAGCACGAAGCAAGTAGCATGGGTGCATTGGGGACGATGAAACGGAGTCGGAATCTCCGCTGCTTGGATATTTTTCGCTTGAAGGGGGGGGGTGATCAATGACAGACAGAAATACGGTGTACATCATGACAACAATTCAACCACAGATGCCGCAATATCATCTAGCAAGATGTATTAGTTAGTAACCTTCCGCCATATGAATAAAGGAAGACATGTACAGCATTGGTTGAGACTTGAAGAGTACAGAAAGGGTAACGACCTTGCTCAGCTGGGTCCCCGCCGGTATTTTTCCTCATTGTCACTGACACCGCTGTCATCTTTCTCAGTCTCGTCTACGTCTGGTATTTTCTTCTAACGTCAGCGGCTAGGAGGACCCTCAATGCTGTAACCAGGAAGTAGGTTGGCACACAGCATTGCAGCACGTATAGCTAGGAATGGCGGGTTATATGTTAGCCTGAAATGGCATGAGCGGTTTGCCGGGATAAACAGAGGGAGTAGGCTCGTCTTGAAAGTTTGAAAATGGGGGGGGGGGGGGGGGGGGGGGGGGGGGGGAAAGATGGAGAATTTTCCCGGACGAGAAGGATCTGCAGCGCAAGCTGCATTGGGTGAGACAGCGACATGATATGATACTCAATGAACACTAACTTTCACGACCATGACCTTGGCACCGTTGGTTTTTTTTAGCAGTATCAACACTGAAAGGCCTACTCAATGCCTCCGCCTTTGAAAGCAACACAGATTCATAGAGGTTATAATCGTCAGAACAAGCTAGGACGGGTACCGAGCCGACGCCTTCGGTGTAGCGTACAACGGTGAGGCTGCTCAGCGATGGCCTTGAAGACATGGCTTATCGCAGAAGTGGCGTAGACACCGGACTGGCTCACGTCAGTCGGCTTCGGTCCACATTGCCTGCGTTACCATATTTTGCACGTCCCGTTGCATCGATTGACAAGACACGGCGCCTACGCCGAGGTCAGTTACCACTCTACCGATGATTTTTTTTTCAGTCTTGGGATGAGGGCAGGGTCTGGGTTGGCAGGAGATGGAACGATCCGCTGGAGGGGCGGTGATTTGGGCGGTGTATATCTCAGTTGAACTTGAATATCGTGCCCGCGGATGGAGCGGAGGTCGGTCGGGAAGGAAAGTTAAAAATTCTTTGATAGTGGCGGGATAGTTGGCAACGGCAATGGCAACAGCAGTCATGGTATTAGTGTTGGTAATGAATGGTATAAGACTGTAAGACTGTATAAGGGTGACATAAGTGACGGGCCGGGACCCTAACCCCAGCTCTTCCTTCTGCACCCCGACCGTCAATGCGTCCCACTCTTTCTGTACTGAAAGTCGCGGTGCTATCGCAACCTTTTAAGCGGTCACAGCTTGGTATCTTCCAGGGAAAGTCCAAGCAATACGGCAACAACGTCCCGTTTTCCAAGCACAAGACACGCAGGACATGGCTTCCCAACGTCCAGACGAAACGTATCTTTTCCGAGGCCCTCAACCAGTCCGTAAAGTTGAAGGTCACTACGAGGGCCTTGAAGACCATAAAGAAGGTGCGTTACACTACCAGGTGCTGCTTGCTTGCTGGTGACTGAAGGGAGCGTAGCACGGCGGACTTGACAAGTACCTCACAAGGGGCATGAAACCTTCGGAACTCAGTCACGAAGGGATGCGGCTACGCGTCCGCATACTAGACGAGATACGGCCACCGCTACCCGCCAATGCTCAGCTACGAAAATCGCCCGCGTTCCTCAAGGAGCAGAAGAAGACGGCGGGGAAGGCGAGAGCTGCAGAGATCATCGAGGCGCAGAGGGCTGCCCTCAAGCGGGTCAAGCTCAATCAGAGGCCAACGCTAGAGGATGCGAGGAGGGTCAGGATGGAGGTGATGGAGATTCTGGGACGCAAGGTGACGCCGGACCGTAATAGGTGAGTTGTTCTGTCTTTTTTGCTGGCACTTGCTTTGCGCTAATTCTGTGCAGGGATAACAGGAGGGCTATCCTCGGTTTCTTGCATCAGAGAGCAAACTCGCGACAGAAAGTGTTACAAGGAGCATCATAATCCATGACCATTTGTTTTTTTTTTTTTTTCCTATCCCCTTGGAAGAGCCAAGCTGTTACATGTTACAGTATGCTTCAAAAAGGATGTTCAGTGCTGACTCGGATGCTTTTCATTGGACAATCAGCGTTGCGAATCTCGTCCCACTTACACTTAGTGGCTGCTCTGAACGCTGAGCGTTATGTAATTATTTTCATCTTAGAATTCCTCGCCAAGCCCAAGAACAGTTGCACTTTATTTGTTCAAGTGTTGGCTACAAACCACTGTCCATTTCTGGACAACCGCGAATCTTCATTCAAGACGCCCATTGTGCCTCCATAAAGATCGTCCATTATGTTACCCTTCCCACGTATTTCATTGTTCTCTATCTCCCCCTTGTCTCCGGTTGCCTTTCTGTATAAATACCCTTGTCACCCTTGATAGGCCCTAGCTCTCCCTGAGTTTCTTACACCTCGCGTCAGCTACTTTCTCATCCTTCTCATCCTTCCCCTCCATTCATCAGTCATGCGCTTCTCATTCGTAGCTCTCCCCCTCTCCATTCTCGTCGCTGGATCCTCAGCATCCACTATCCACGCCCGTCAGCTACCCAGTACGTTTACATAAATTTGCCTTCCAACGTTATCTCTGTCCTCACCTCAGTTTTTCTTTCAGGTTGCGCGGTGTCCTGCACCACCAGCTCCAACATCAACTACGGCAACTGTAGCACCACAGACGACGCCTGTCTCTGCCAGGACACCTCCTTCGTCACCAGCGTCGAGACTTGCATCAACTCGAATTGCTCCGGAAGCGACCTTCAAACCGCCCTCTCCGAAGCCCAGGCTCTGTGCGCTGCCGCCGTACGCCACCCCTTCCCATCATGCCATCTCTGTTTCATTGATGTTCATCTTTTTTTTTCTCTCTCTCTTTCATACAGGGCGTCACATTGACATCAGAAGCCGTTTCGGCCACGTCGACTTCCCCGGGTTCTTCGTCGTCTTCGGGCTCTGGCGCTGGCTCTTCACCCGCATCGACATCAGCATCAGCATCAGCATCAGCGACCTCGTACGTGGTCTTTTTTTTTTCCCAACATCAAAGTGATCTCGGCTTATCTCTTGCTATTATAGCACCACGTCCGCTAGCAATGGTGCCCTTACTGTCGGCGCCAATGCCTTTGCCGGTCTCACCGCCATTGGATTCGTCGCTCTCGCGTTGTAAAAAAAGAAAATTGCAACCGTGTACCCTACTTCGTCTTCTTTTGCCTTTCGTCGGCCCTTTTTTTTTTTCGTTTCGAGTTCTCTGCGTTGGGGAGTTACACCATTTTAATTGACGAAAAATTTTGTATCCAAGTCCTTGTTTGTGTGACATTTTGCGTTATTTCAGCCTTTATGGTATCTATCATTCTTCCCCTTCCTTCCTTTGGGTTGATCATCTTTTCGCTGCTCGAAACTTCGCGATGGGGACCAATCTCCCTTTCTTGGGATATAGAATCCAGCAACTTGTCACATGCACTTGTACGAGGCCTCTTGGCACACATCAATCCGGCACCGTCAATGAATACGAAACCTCCCATCCTCGTGCAAATATCTGTTAGCATCCGCGCGTACATTCTTACTCGCAAACCCGACACAGATGAACAATGTTATACTTAGGTCTTAGGCCCCAGGTCCCAACATCCGGAATATCTACGCAGGCAGGTGCACCGACAGATTGATGGTTCACACCGATGGGACCTAGGAGAACAGCGATGGCCTGGATGATGCACTCTATCGCAACAGCGGCGTACGCCCCATAACATGTTTATAATATCGACTTCGCTCCGGAAAGATGTCACTCACACTCATACATTGCAAGTCGTCCCACCACAATCAACTGACAAGCGTTGATCAATACAAGGAGAAATTCCATCAGTCTTAAGGCGGGAGTAGGATCTGTTGTTCGGCAGTAGATGGGACGAACAAGCGATCCATATCAAAACTCGCCAAGCAAAAAAAGGACCAATAATAGACGTGCATGCTTTACCGGTGGAAGGGCATCAGCATCATCAGCATCATTCCCTCAGGAACTCGATCTGTTCCGCCCCGATAGTCATCCAGAATGACAGTTCAGTCAGGTTCTTCCCCATTCAATTGTGTAAGCGCACCGGGGGGTTCATCACGATCAATGAGAAGAAAAATCAGTTCAACGGGTAGTTTTCAATTATTATACCTCGTTTCTCCGGGACCTGTCAATTGCATTCGACCAACAGGACGACTTGGGGAAAATGACTCACGAGACGAGACGTCCCTTGACCATCGTTGGGATCCAGACTCATGGCGAACGTCGACCATCATCTCAGCCAACAACATCGACGAAGCAGGCTCGCTGGAGGCATTCAGTCGTGCGTAGATGAAGTTTATATGTCTGCTGTATGAGGAACTGGCAAAACATTTTTTTTTTAGTATGGCAAGACGGCGTGGGTGAAAGGGGCAAAAATCCACTTCCCATATAAGACATATTGGGAAAAAGAAATAAATGCTAACTTATGGATGCCAGTTTCTTAGAGCCAGCCAGGTTTCATTTCTTCCGGTACCGTACGGTGAGCCCAAGGATGGAGTCATCAGCGTACAGTTCCAAAAAGGCGGCGGTCCTTGATATCATCAGAGATGTAAGGAGGGAACGCCGAGTACGTGTGAGGTTGCTACTTATCTGCAAACCGGTCCCTAATGAGCACCAACGCTGAGTTCCAGTCCTCGTAGAGAGTTCATATCATACCTTCATCTAGGTTCGTGCCTGAAATGAAAGGGAATCGTGGCAAACTCGCCCTTTGCCCCCACGTGTGGGTAAATCGGGAAGAAGACCTGAAGGACTGTCCAGTACAGGATTAAAAGGTTTATCTTCAAGAGCCAACGCAAAAGTTGATATATAGCAGACGAATTCGTCGTCTGCAGGCAGTCAAAAGTATTCTGCGTACCAGTGACAGACCCGCAGCCTACGAAACCCTGCCCAGGTGGATTCTCGCGTAGATGCCATTATAAATGACGGTGGAGGATGCAGCACCAGGCTCAGAGATATAACCATGGATTCAGAATGAAGGCTTCTGTGAAATGACTACCGCAGCCCAGGCCAAGTTAGAGATCGACGAGTTTAGAAGCATCAGACCTGTCGACATAGCTCCAGCGCTTTCCCCACCTATTTGGACTTGTTATCCCAGACAATCGGCATATCATGCATTTATGCACCTTGGCTTTGTCGCCACCGAACAAGCCAATATTCTGTTGAACCCATTCCAGGGCAGTTAGCTGATCTCTAGTTCCGAGATTGATCACTCCTCTATCAGCAGCCTCCTGTCCTTGAGGGAAGCCCAATGGCCCTAGCCGATAATTGTGGTTCACATAGATGATGGGAGTTCCCTGGAGGCAGTTAGACATGAAGATGTAAATAGAACGCGAAAATTTACTCTGGTAACACTCTGAGCAATGATATTGCTTCCACTGTAGGATGAAGATGTGCCTCCGGAGAAGCCGCTACCATAGATCCTTCGGCCCCATTAGCGCAAGGACAACATGAATGAAAGATATAATTTTACCAGAACATCACGGGCAATGAGTCCTCAGAAGACAACCCCGTCGGCCGCAAAATGTTGACGGTCAAACAATCCTCCGACATCTCATCAGTAACAACGCCCTGTTTTTTTTTTTTTTCACTATTAAGATAGGATAGCAGATATCAAGTAGATGCGTCCACCTCCTGTAAACAGACTAGTCCAAAAGTCTGGGCGTCAATGTCCGTTTTCAATACAGGATGCTCCAAACGCAAGGATCCAACCGGAGGTTCGGCGTATGGAATACCTAGCCTTCATTTTAGCCTTGACTATCGCCGTGCAGCATGTTGGCTCACCTCCAAAGAATTTTGTCTTGCTGTAGCCCTGGAACATCTCTTCCAATGAGCTTGGTTGGTCCTCGGAGGGGCCGAAGCAGCCAGGAGAGCAGAGCACAGAACGGACGCCACGATGAGCATGGTTAATGCGACGAGCAAAGGGAGAGAATATGGCTTCATTGTGTAGCATTTGGGGTTCGGAGAAGGATGGCCGTTTGGACAGGCGGAGAACAGGTATTATCATGGTCAGAAGATGCAAAATATTGTGTTCGCGCGCACTGCGAGACAAATGGAAGAAGGATCATCGTCAACGTAGAAAATCCAACACGTCAGGAAGTGGTGATTGGCCTACCCAAGTATTGGCATCATTAACTGTACGTGTTTGTGGCGCATTGCTTACAAGGAGATGGCCTTAAGATCCATGCATACCACCTTTGGCGCCAGAGTAACACAAAAAATAAGTGTCAAGCATTGCCAGCATAAGTAAAGGAGGAACTAACTATTCTGGTTCTCGATGACATATCTTTACCGAAAACTCAACGGTATCACGACTACAGGCCCAGGACCTTCGGGGAGAATACAACCTGAATTTCGCCTGTTCATCCTTATTTTTGTTTTCATTTTTGTCCTTCAGAGACTTCTGCGTGTCTCTGTTCGAAACACACAATCAAAGCTGCGCAGTCACTGCAAGACGTTCGGCGACCCTACAAATTTGTCTCCACGGCCTCATCTAAGTAACCTAACTCGGAAACAGAAACAGAAGCGTCTGGATGGAAAGGAATGAAATCGCCTTCGTTGACTCACTTATCCGCTGTCTTACATTCTTCTCGATCCGTCGGAAGGAAGGTGCTTTTAAATCGACTGCTGCGCCCTTCAGTTGACAATCGGTGGAAATACAACGAAAATTCCGTGTTAAGATCTTTTCTTTTCGTGCGTCTCTTGGTGCATTTTTTTACGTCCTCAAGCAAGACAATAAACCAGCCGCGGTGCTTTTTTCATTGTCAGGAGGACTCCTGACGCTGCAATCTGGAAGTAGATTGGCAAAGCATGGCGACGATTATCAATGCAAGAAACGACTCGGCCGGTATGCTGGCCTGAAACTGATTGAACGGGCTTGGATACGGAAGATTCTCGTTTTGGAGTTTGAACCGGGTGAAAGAAGTAGAATTCTTCCCGGACGAGAGGGATCCGTAGAGCGGACTATAAAGGACTGGTAAGACAACTAAAAGACCGGGTAATAAGGAGATTACCCAGCTGTGCTACAATTGCAATGTATCCTGCCAATGTAAACCCATATTTTATCCCCCCAGTCTCTTTTTGCACTGGGCGAGACAGTAGCCTATTCGATGAACATTAATTTTGATGGCCATGGTTTTAGCGCCAGTTTGTTTCTTAGTTACAGAATGGCGGACTCAAATTATCCGTCCTTCAAAATAATACCGAATACGCCATATCCTCGTCAGGATGGGAACACATTCGGTACATCGGTCGTCGATCTGTTCTCATACAGTAAGGTTGAAGTCGCCTCGTACCTCACCGAGAGACTGATGGTTCACGCTGATGTGACCTGGTAGACAAGCAGCCTCAGTGTGATGCCGCATTGACTGACAAGACACGCCGCCGATGTCGAGGCTATTGACCAATCCAGGGGTGAATTCCGTGAATCTTGGGAGGAGAGTAGGATCTGGTTGGCAGTAAATAGGACAATCTTCTGGAGGAGCGACATCTTGGGCAGTATAAGGCTCAGTTGAAGTCGGATATTTTTCCTCTGTCCAGTCAAGGTCGGACTATCAAAAGCTCCTGGATACTGGCGGGATGGTCAAATATTTAAGCTTAGCAGGAACCAACTTGCCGTTATGCTGCCGTTCCGGCTTGAAAGCGGCGTGTATGGCATTACGGGCCAGTATGCAGCGGTCGTACATCGGCACCTCTGCTAACGTAACAGCCTACGAAAGCCCAGCTCGCATTTTCCTTTCACTCCCACTGAACGGCGGACTATACTGCATTCTCGAATGCCAGTGTACAGGAACCGAATTGATTTTATCCATAAATAAGGTGAATACCCATGATTGCACGCCACGACAGCACTAACTACGAATAGGCTCACTTTTACTTTATGCCATCTTTATGTTCAAATGTCGCCAGCTTAGCAAATTACCCAAACTCAATGGAAAACCGTCTGTCGTCGTAAGCAAAAGATATTGCTTTCAGTTTTTAGCTTGTCTGACTTCTGGACTTGCAGTTCCGCGGATGCAAGCCTGGCGCTCTGACGGGTGCATTCCCCATCTCAGACCGTTTCGCGGTGCGGCTGGACCCCAAACACCCCGCGCTCAAAGTCAATCCCAAGGTCCTCCCACTCGTATCGCAGCCTTTCTTGTCCATCAAAGCAATACCGTTTGGCTTCCTCACCAAGCCGGAAAATGTTGTGACGTTCGAGAGGCCGGTGGAGCTCTGGGAGAGTCGCGTCGCTAGGCTGAAGCGTTCTCCTTTGGAGCAGACGGATGCATCGAGTATATCGCTCCCCGTGCACTTGGTGATGCCGAAGAAAACTGTGCACAAGAAAAAATACCTCAGGGTGGCCGTCGCGCGCAAAGTCAAAACGGCCATTGCGCTCATCCTCTCGAGGGGTATGGACGTTGGGAGTGATGGTGAGCTGGTGCTGAATGATGAGCAGACGAGGGAAGATTGTAACAAGCTGGTCGTAGATGGTGAGCTGCCTTTCTGCATTCGATGGATTAATCACTCAAAAACTCAGGGTGGAGTTACGTCATTTCGCCGCAGCTCGAGATACATCGAATGCCGTTTGAAGATCTCGTCAAACGGTTACGCACAGCGCTGTTGCAGATCTCGACCGGCATCAAGCGGCTGGAACAGCAATGGGCAGCGAAGGATAGAAGCGTATATCGTGGACGAGACGGGGTGCGCTTTACTAGAGCTCGACCTCGGTACCCAACTCTAGCTGAGATGCGCGCCAAAATGCGAGAAAATGAACAGAGACGACGTAGAGACGCGACCGTTGAAAATGGGTTTCAACTCGATGATCTTTCGCCTGTGAGTATCCTTTCGCTTATATCCTTTGACTGGGTTTTATGATGTTCCAGGAAGAGAACACCGTTTTAGAACCAAGTCCAAATGGTGAAACCCTTGCTTCAAGTGAGCCTTTGTCAGACTATCCCATGCTTGTGAGCCCTTCGCCGCTGTCTTTCGACTCTCCTGCTTATGAGCTATTAGGGAGAGGATGTCCAGCATCGTTATCAGCCTCGACAACACGATTTATCAAGCAGCGTTGGGTCATCAACCATAAACGACTTTAACAGTGAAGAGGAGAACCTTCCAAGCGATATTACCATTCCGTCTAGGACTCTCGAACAGAGCGATTCTTCTTCGCTCTGGACAGGTCAAATGCCAGAAATTCCCCTAGAGGCTATTCGAGATGCCAAGGTTGGTATCTATTCCTCTATAAGTTAGACCTTATCGTCATGGACTTTTAGGTGCCAATAGCTTCTTCCCTAAAAAAGAGCGACAATTCCTCTTGGATATCATTCTTGGACGATGTGGTTGAGGATGCCGAGAAGGATATCTTATATGCGCCGATCGAAGAAGAAGAGCCAGATATTCGGGATGTGAGCGTCCCGATGCCGGCGTCTCTGACCCCACTCTAACCCCCAAGTGTAGGATCGTCCGCAGAAGAGTCATCGGTACGCCTCAAGATGGGATGGTTTCCATGCGAATCAAAGTGAGGATAATACTCCTGTGAGTGTCGCCTTGTTTTACTTCCTGCGTTATCACTAGCGAAAACTAAACTGGACATTTGAACAGCGGAATCCTGTGAGCCTACTTTTTCGATGTCCAAGTGTGTCACTGATGCAACGTGTTTGTCAAGTTTAAACGCTCGCAACTCTCAGGACGATCTCCACCTCTCAAGGCAAAAGAGTCTTCTCCCTTTGTCAGTCTCTTTCTATGAATGTACCTAAAGACAAAACAACTTGACGCTCATTTCTTTATCAGCGCCCGGTTCTCGACAAGGCCTGGCGTGGCCTTAATCGACCTGTTCCCCTCCCGAAGAAGGCGTGGTCCGCCGAAGAACAACGTTATGTGAGTGACTTCAGCTTAACCTCGATCCCTTCCATTCATAACCCCGCCTGTGAAGATTCGTCATCCGAAGCGACAAGGAGAGTTAGAAGAAAAGAAGCCTCAGCCACCACCACCACCACCACCAACACCAACACCCTCCGTAAGTAACACACCCTGTGTTCTCCGCCGTGATATTGATCTACTGGCGTTAGCAGGATGGGATGTCTGCGTTGGAACGTGCGAAGGCCATTGTAGATTCAAGGAAGCGGACTATGATTGTACCGCCTCCCCGACCTCGTAGGAAGTGAATAGTGTTTTTTTGTTTTGATGAGTACGGGTCCTCATTCCGAAAGTTATTTGTTGCGCAAAACTCTTTTACGAAATCCCTAATACGACAGCCGACGTTGCGTGTTCAGTCCGATCTTGCGACCTTTCGGGCCTGTTTTGAAATTATAACAATGACGCTTCAGCGCCTTGATTGCTACTTGGCATGCTTGCACCAACCTTTACGAATTTATGCTTATCCTACATGCATGCTAGCGATTTTCTTAGTCAGACACTCAGACACTTCCAATCAAGACCCTCCCATGCTTTGGCTGCAATCAAGAACTTTGCCTCGTCATGATTTACGTCAAGGACTATCCCCGTGCAAGACAGATCAACACGCGTACCAACCGCCGAAGTTCAATTTCGGTTGGACAACTGAGGAAGCGCGTTCTCACCAAGGTCCATAATCTAATCTTACGAGCCCTGTTCAAAGTTCAAAGTTCGCGCCCTCTGTTTCTCAGGTCTGAAAATCACCAGATTCAGCGCTTCATCAGAACGAAAAGTTCCAGGATACATACAGTACGAGCACTCTAGCTTGGTGTTGCACTAAGGAACCGATCCGATGCCTTGTGGCTTCCCTAGTTTTTTTCCCTGATGTTTTGCGGCATCGTGCTTGCTTGGCGCCTTTTCCTAGCATAATATTTTGGCCACGGACATCCTCCTGCAGATCCATCTCTTTCGGCGCAGTGGCCTGGTCTAAGCTTGTCAGTGGTCGCACCTCTAATCACTTGCGTACTTATTTTCTGACGGCGGTGGGCGTATGAACTGCCCGCTACCGAAATCCAACACGGTTCAATTAGAACCAAGTTCTGATTTCTTCGATTTCTGAGCCGGCCCGATTTCTTCGTGAAAAATATGCCCGATATGAAATTTTTGCTGGCCTCCCTTGTGACCAACGGAAGTGGAATAGTGTTCGCGCCTTATCACCTCAGGCGAACTGTAGGGGCGTGTGTCCACATTCTCACCTACTCCATCAGACCTCATGGAAACGCTCTGTGCGCCGGCGTTGGTGGGCGCTCCGGGGGGGTGGGGGGGGGGGCATATAGAGCTATATCGACCTGTCCTTGACTATCCTTCATGTCTGCTGCTCAGAGGACTGCTATAATCACAGGGGCGGCCCAAGGTGTTGGCAAAGCGATTGCACTACGCTTGTCCATCGATGGCTGTCAGGTTGTAGTCAGCGACTTGGCGGCTCAGAAGTCACTTCTCGATCTCTTGGTCTCTGACATAACCCGAACTGGTCACACTGCGATTGCAGTTACGGCTGATATATCGATAGAGAAAGACATGGAAGATCTTGTTGCTGAAGCTGTGGCGCGTTTTGGGTCCCTCGATATAATGGTATGTTGAGCGCCACTACGCCACGTATCTGTATGCACGCTAAACTTAATCAGGTTGCGAATGACGGTGTCGCTGCGCAAAGTTCTCGCACTATCCTGGATAGTAAGCCGCTAGCATTGAACTAACTCCATTGTAAACTGACTTCCGGCTCGATTCACAGCATCTATCGAGGAGTGGGGGACTCGTTTTCGGCCCCAATATCAAGAGTGAGACTTCATTCATTTTGTCCTTTCCACCACACCTACATAAACTAGGCACGTTGATATGCTACAAAACGGCCGCGAAGGCCATGATCAAGCAAAACAGAGGAGGTAGAATCATCGGCACATGCTCTCTACTCGAGAAACCAAGTGAGCTTGGTTTGACCTGGTGTCTGTACCAACACGACTGACGTTTTAAAGACCGTAACACTCTTGGTACCAACAAGGTTGCCATACGAGGCCTAACCCAGATTGCTGGTACATCGACGTCGTTTATTATTCATGCGCTCTGATTGTTCTAACCTTCTTCCCGCTCAGCCTGTGAGTGGGCAAAATATGGTATCACAGTCAATGGATACGCACCCGGTGTGACAGATACACCTCTCCGTGCGTGCCCTGTCCAACGAAGAACTCTGAACGAAGGGCCAACACTTTTGACCTAGTTCTACAAATGGATGCTCGACTTGCAGATTTACTACATGCAGGTCCTGGAGCATACGTCGAGATAATGAAAGCTCAAATGTCTTTCGGAAGAGTCGCTCAACCTGAAGAGGTCGCTCGCGTTGTCTCATTTTTGGCTTCAGAAGAGGCCGCCATCGTAACAGGCAGGTACTTTCATGCTCTAATTGTCGCTGTCACACATGAGCCATTAACGTACGCCTTAGGGCAGACTCTTATAGTTGACAGTGAGTTCTGTCTGCTTCTTCCTGAAGGACCCTGTAGTAACCCTAATGTCACTGACCAGCTCCGTTCCAAATGTTAGCAATAATGATTCGCTGACGACTCTACTCAGTCTGTGGCAAGCGTCTTCCAGAAGGTTTAAGGACTCCAACGAATGCGAGCGATGTATAACTTTATGCTTCAGTGTGCTGGAAGGCTGGGTCGGTCCCTCGGTAGTTCGATCTCGGCGACGTATACCATTATCTTGTGGTAAATAATAGTCGACACAAGTACTATGTCGGTCTTCAGCTTCAGCTCTTATTTGATGGTGAAAAAGATCGGCCTTATTTCCCTACCCGAGACTTCGGTATCGCGTCGCTGAGACTTTATATGGACTCCGGAGGACGTTAACACAGAGTCTGCAATCAATATCATGATATGGACTGTATCAAATTGACGAACAACTACCTTCCGGAGGGCGATTTCCTTTCCGAAGAAGTCGACCAGACTTTGATGCTCGGAGTTCCTCGAGATTGAAGAGCAGCCGCGTTACCAGCATTTGTCCAGCATGGGCCTCTCACCGTTGCAATCACGCTCTAATACACGCTTTCGGCCTGATCATCTCGATACTCTTCTGGCGAAAGGGAGTCACAAAAAATCGCTAATACTAATCAACCGTAGCACACAGCGTCTCATTGTTCCTACTCGACCATCCATGTGGACCTTTGAAGTCTGGAATTCATCAAAGTCAGCGCTTCATCGAAACGAAAAGTCCCAGAGTACATACAATTTGCATACAGTATGCTCGCCGTCAAGCACGGGGACGTACTTCATAATGAACTTCGAGAGCGGATTACGCAAAATTCGGGTATTTGAAACTTGGTGAGGCCGTTTGAGCTTATATATGGTGAAACTCAATTTCCAGTCCGCTTCACTCATAACAAACTACTACTGCCCTCTTCATCGTGGACCGGCTGAAGGTATCGTCCAGATATTAAATTATCTTCCTGAGAACCTCATCGATAGACTCCATATTGTTCAATAACCTTCGCCATGATTCATTCCTCGGTTTATCCCGACAGAACTCTAAGAAGACCATACTTTCCGGATTGCCCCGGCTACTGGTGGGGTCACGAAATTACGAATGACAATGATATACATGCGTCATCTAAAGGCTGTATTGCACACACGGTCCAAGACGATTTCCTGAGAGTTTGTTCTACTCCTTGTCATCGGCAGATAATTTTGAAGCTAGGAGATGCAACGTCGGCCTCCTTCGAAAGTTGACTGAAGGTCGCAACATCCGTTTTGATGTTCATAAAAAAGTCTAGAAGGCCTGGACAGAAATACATACAGTGGTGAGAAGCCTGATGTGTATGTTTAGAGCCCAAATCAGGAGACCTAGATGGACGCAAATCTTGCACCATGATGTATAGATGCGTTGCAAACCACGCGCCTTAAGTCAAAATGTGCTGGGATCTCGTTTCAGGAGTCGACAATGTAAACTTACTTTCGAGTCGTTATTACGCAAAAATGGGTGCCGCGTGACTGTGGCTTGTAAGTTGCACTTAGAAGTATTGGCATCTAAAAAAATATCGTCAGCTTAGTCGAGACGGCGTAGCTAGTGCAGTCCTTACTTATGTAACTTGTCATTGGCCGGCTGTTGGCTTCCATTTCAAACCGGACATCGTGGTCAACGCGAGGATGAGAACGCCGCCAGTTCCTAATCTATGCCGCGCCCTAGAAGCAAAATCACAGTCTAAACCCCTTCACTGTTCATTGACTTCGTGAAGAATCGTCCTAGACCGTTGTCCAAGAACCCGTAACGAGTCCTCAAGCACAATCACATCTTGAACACGCGGCTTCTATAGTGGCGTTTGAGCTTCCAAAGTTTGGCCAATGTGACGGAGAAAAGCCATCGACAGATGGTGTACACGCCTACTTCATGAACGTTTGCAGCTAACAAGCCGGCTGTCGCCTCCGATGCTGCATAGAAGAAAAGTGAGAATTCTCATGACGAAGAAATACGTTCACGAGCCATCAACGAGCGTGTCGATAGTCATTAAGCACGTTGCATAGAGTAAGGCGTACGACGTGACAGGGGAAATAGGAATTTTGAATGAACAATGCACGGAGTGCACGCCCCTTGTTGCGGACACTCGTCAAACGCCAAGTCCACACGGTCATGCTCACTTATAAAGGTGGCCTCCTGGCCCCCCATACAGCATTCCAGTCCTTGGAAAGCCTCGTGTTCCCTAGAAAAAATTCCTGTCCAAAATGCCTAACGTCATCGGAGTCATCGTTCTTGCCCGCAACGGCGACAGGCTTGGTTACGTCCAAGACCCATTCACCTATTTATCCTCCTCGACGCACCTCACTCCTCTAGGCGCTGTCCAGTCCCACCAGCTCGGTTCCTACCTTAGGTCAACCTACCTCAATCCGTCGTCCCCCTCTTACATCACCGGACTTAACCCCGACCTCGCTAATCCCAAACAGATCAAAGTTCGGGCCAAAGCCGGCGGAGAAGGCGACCCGGTCTTTGACTCTACCATCGCGGTTCTCCAAGGTCTCTTCCCACCCACTCTGCGCAATTCCATCGTTCTCGCTAACGAGAGCGTCGTCACCGCGCCGCTTGGAGGGTACCAGTATGTACCCGTGGAGACTGTAGAGCCAGGAAACGACAGGTCTCTCGAGCCATGGACGTCCTGCCCCGCGTTCCTCAAGCACATCGCGCACGTCTACGAGTCTGACGAGTTCAAAGCCAAGGAAACGGAAGCCGCCACCGTAGGGTTCTTTGACACGGTCAAGGACTACGTCTTTGGTCGCGAGCGAAGCTTGGTGAACATTGTAAGTTTCCCTAGTTCCCGGCATGTCTGACGCACGCTAACACGATCGACGGGTTAGTGGAATATCTACGACTTCATGCAAACCCAACTCACATACAACCGAACGTACGCCTACCGCCTTCCTCCGACACTCATTAACACTGCCCGTGCTCTCGCCAACTTCCATGAAGATGCAGTGTTCTCCGACGCCCACATCAGCGGTATCGGCAACATCGCTGCTCGCACTCTTTTGCATACCATCATTGCTTCTCTCGAGCGCATCGCCTTCGACGGAGACCCGTTGCAGTTCCTCCTCATCGAGTCATCCTACCACCCCTTCATCTCCCTCTTCCACGCGACCGACATCGTTGAGACGTTCCCAGAACTGAAGGCTATCCGTGAGTTACTTCGCCCTCGAGTCGCAACTTGTTGACCAAGCCAATCCACAGCGGACCCTGCCTCTAGTTTGATGATCGAGCTCATCCGCGGTGCGCCCCCCGATACACGCGATTTCCTCCGCTTCAAGTTCACCAACGGCTCGCACCCCGCCCAGACCGTGCATGTCTTCGGCCACAGAGGGGATATCCCGCTCACAGAGTTCATCTACAAGACACAGGACGTTGTAATCTCGAATAACCGTCAGTGGAGGGAGGTCTGCACCGCCAACTCCGCTTCCACGTCTGTCTTTTCCACGGAAAACTTGAACGTCAACGCGCTCTTGGCTCTGGGCGTGTTCATCTTTGCCTTGCTTGCGCTTGGCTTTTCGTATAAATGGAAGGCAAACAAAAAGAGGGGTGTCAAGCTCGCGGGTGAAGAGGTGAGTCCTTGCAATGTGTACGGGTACGGTTCGTGCGGCAGTGGTGTAGGACCTGCACACTTCATGACCTCTTCGTCGCATACTGACTTGTACTTTCCATAGACGACCCTCCAAGTGGCAGAGAAAAACCTTGGCACTGTTAGGTTCGTCTAAAGTGACGGTGTCGACAATGGATTCTGGACTGTAAACAATTACTTGTATAAGGACTAGCTCTGGTCTGGTTACCTCTTTACGCACATTTATCATATACAATCGTCATGATCGTCACGAGGAATTCATTATCTTGCATCTACTGCCGATTGCCGTATTATGTGGACGGCTTGACTAAAGGTTTGCCTTTCTCCATGTTGCTGTTCATTATGAACAATCGGTGCTCTCCGAAACGGTGTCCCACTCAAACTGAAGCTTCAGATGATCCTCCAACTGCATCTGCACAGCTCCGAAGCAGTCTGAACTGAGCAACCTGGGAAACTCTTTTCTTTGCAACACCCTTTCCGCAAACAACATCCAGCATGCCTTGCATACCCCTCTTTGGAGTGCCCACGCACACAATTGGACCAGTTCATCGGGCACGTGAGGTAGGAATACACGGGCGACATTTGGAGCACCAAAGAAGCTTGTAAGAGCCACACCGAGATGCAGACTGCTTACTTGAACTGAACGAAGGTCTTTTCGGGACCACATCGCTCGCATCAGTGATGAAGATAAATAGCAAACAAACTGGAACACACGTGTTCTCCTCCAATGTCCAGCCAAGATGTGTCCCGCATTGTTCACCAGCACATTAACCCCACTGTCCAGTCCAAGCATCTCTGGACCCTTATCTTTGAGATTAACTAAGTAACTGATAGATAGATAGATTAAGCTTAAGCTGTTGCGATGACCTTTTTTCCTTGCACAAGGGCTGCAAGAGCAAGGCCTCGTCCGATACCGGCCCTACACCGATACGACTGTTAGCATTAGAAGGCTGGTTCATGACTAAACGTACAGTTCCAGTGATGACCCAGACAAGTTTGAGGGATATGTTGCTGTTGGCGTGGTCCTCCTTCACTGCCGCCTTGATATCGTAATCCATGGAGGGAACTTAGTCATATTCCATTCGAGTATCCAAAGGAAACCCCGTCAGAGTCAGTGTTGACATGGACCAGGATAGAGAAGATGTGTGCCGAGAAAAGAAAGGCACCCAAGGAAAATCAGCTATAATCAGGCTATCCAAGGCGCGACATAGGACTGATATCTGCAAACTGGTCGCGTTTGAAGAGCAGCATGAACCTATCATTTCTTAGGGAGAATGAATAAATGACCAGGAGCGCCGGAGTCGGTATTGTCGTGGTGGTGGAAGATAAGAGTTTAAGCCTTCCCACGCCAAGTGCTAGTGATCTTTCAATTTATTATTATTGTTATTTTATTCTTTGTGGAACGTTTGGCATACCTTCGTACACCCTGCTCAGCAGAAGCCTTCCGACAAGCAGAATGGCGCGTCAAGGACGCTGTACTTAGGCGGACGTTCGCAGAGCTATAAGAGCGTTGTCTCGTCGTATGAACTGAGGAAAGCTGGTTTCGCGAAGGGTGACAAGTTTCCAAGCAAAAAGAATTTGGGCATCCAGGACTCTAGTCTCAGCGCGCAATCCGAAGACACCCTTGTATGTCATATATCATAACGAATGAGATCCCTGTCAAACTTTCGAAATCTAGGCGCCACCACGAAGATGTCTACGAACTTTACGTATGCATGTTTGAATAGCGGTATGGAGATCTATAGTACATGAATGACAATATCAAGCAACAAAAATGATAGCTGCTCAGGCATATCATGATAATAACAGAAATCAGAAGATGAATAGTGACTCTCTTTCTTGGGAGGAGTGACCTTGTCGACGAGATCAATCTGTTGGAAAGGCACCAATATCCGAGACTGTAAAGTATCTGCTCTACCGATATGCAACGGACTTGTCCAGAATACAGGTGATGTCCCTTACTGAGCCAAGAGTGCTGCGGTCATAAGACCGCTATAGGGTGTCTCGATGAGTGGACATATGCGAACAGTGATGAAGAGGGTCAGGAACTGCGGGATTTTTCCGTTCAAGAGTACGGGATAGGTTGGGATAGCATTCACCACTACAGCACTCATCTAAAGGAAGACAACAACATTCCTGAACCTCGCTGTATTCTTCATCACACCCTCGTACACGTACTCGGCGTAGCCTCCATCATGACTAAATCCAGTGTAGGCGGCATGCTTACATGTCCAGAACTCGCCCTGGCGGCAATTGTCGCGACGATTACAAAATCCGCCGTTCCAGCCGATGCCTGCCAAGCCGTTGAGTTTGAAGCGCCCAGAGTCACCATCCTTCGCCTTGATGTCTGACCCGATTCCTGCGATCCGTCCAACAACTTCATGTCCTGGAACTCTAGGGTATTGTAGGCCAGGCCATGAGCCGTTTTTCACAAAATGATCCGAGTTACAGATACCAGATGCGTGAACACGGATGAGAATCTCGTTGGGTCCGGGGTCGCGGATGGAACAAGTTACGACCTCCCAAGGAGAGCCAGGTTTAGGGCATTGAACTACAGAATTATTAGTGGTTTAATGAGTAAGTAAAAAAGTAGGCTACGCACCTGCTTTGTAGGTCTGGGGGATGCTAGCCATTGTAGAGTCAAGTTGTAAAAATCGATGCCATGGTAGTTTTGTGATAATCCTGGGACATAATTCAAGGTCAGGAATTTATATCAATTCGACATGGTCTGCGAAAGGTCGCAGTTGTTATCCCCGATGCTTTCCGAATACAATGAGGTCGGAACTTGGGACCGTCTTCTTCGCCCAGAGAGAAGCCAATCCGGGGTGGAAAAATCGTATCACATGACCTTGACTTATCCTGAAACGGAAGAAGTACCACTTGCACCCCACTCATCCCCGGATTCTGAACTACGGGAAGTTCTTCACTTGGCCGACCTGCTCGGCGGAAGATTATGAATGTTGTTGCAGTACCCCACCAATTTGAACTTCTTCATAAGCAAGGCTTTGGGATCAGGAGTTTATGGGCGCCCTTTCCTCCAGTTTATGGCGGTTGAGGCTATTTCGGGGATCTCGGATTGGCTTCGACGCTTTGCATCGTCCCCCAATGCTCAACACTTATTTCTTCGATACGGGGGCGAAAGATGATATGCAAAGGTGTTAGCTCAGCATTTATTTTCTGTGGGCATTGCGTTGCAAGCCTGTGCTTGGGCGATGCTAACTCGCCGCTTCGCCTGATGCGTCGGATTTCCCATAGCGTTAACCTTGACCTTGAGTCATGGGACGAACAAATCTTTTTCCATTTGGCTAGCAACACATGTGCGTAAACCCGATATTTCGCACTTCATGACAATACCTTTTCCTCATCCTTCCAAACGGTCATGGGTTCTCGTCCTTCCCTGAACTCAACATGATACATAAGGGGGTCGTATTCTTCTGCATTTGTCGTCGCATTAACCATGCTCATCGTGATAGCCATGCTCTACTGTGTGCTCTTGGCCGCTTCAGCCCCCGAAGTCCAACTGGGCAAGACCAAGCTCGTTGGAAGAGATCTTACAGGGCTACAGGTGGGACTTCTTTGGAGGTAAGCCAGCATACCATGCAGCGATGCTCAAGGCTAAGACATTGGCCAGGGATTCCATTCGCTGAACCTCCGGTTGGCGCCTTGCGCTTAGAGCGCCCCGTATTGAAAACGGACATTGATACCGATGAATTCGACGCCCAAAATTTTGGACTAGCCTGTTTACAGGAGGTAGGCATTTCTGCTTCATATCTGCGATTTTATCTTGATGGCAGAAATGACAGGGCCTTGAAACCGATGCGATGTCGGAGGATTGTTTGACTATCAACGTATTTCGTCCGACAGGGGTGTCTTCTGAGGACTCATTGCCCGTGATGTTCTGGTAGAATCATGTTTTTTGCGCATGTGGTCTTTGCGCTAATGGTGCCGAAGGACCTATGGTGGCGGTTTCTTTGAAGGCGCGTCGTCGTCGTTCAATGGAAGTAATCTCGTTGCACAGAGCGTTACTAGAGTAAAGTTTCGCGTTACATCTACGTCTTTGTGGTTAATTGCTTCCAGGGTACTCCTGTCGTCTATGTGAACTACAATTATCGGTTAGGGCCATTAGGTTTCCCTCAAGGACAGGAGGCTGCCGACCGAGGACAGCTCAACCTCGGAGTCAGAGATCAACTAGCTGCCCTGGAATGGGTTCAAGAGAATATTGGTTTGTTCGGTGGCGACAAAACCAAGGTTCGTGAATTCATTATTTGCTGATTCTCTTGGATAGCGAGTTTGAATAGGTGACAATTTTCGGAGAAAGTGCTGGAGCCATGTTGACAAATCTCCTTTTTCTCAACTCCTTGATCTCTAACTTAGCTCGGGCTGCGGTAAGCATGCAATGGTTTCACGGAAGTTTTTATTCTGAGTCACTGCTTAGATCTTCGAGTCTGGCGCTTCGTCCTCGCCCGTAACTTATAATGCATCCACACGAGAATCTTCCTGGCGGAACTTTGTAGCAGGGACACCAGGCTGCGAGTCTATCGCTGGTACGCAGAATACTTTTGACTGCCTGCAGGCGGCGAATTCGTCTGCTATATATCAAGGACTTGTGGAGGCCTTTGCGTTGGCCATCGAAGGATTTCCTTTTGATCCTGCATTGGACGGTCCCTTCGGTCTTTTACCCGATCTGCCGTCACGTCTTTGGGCAAAGGGCGAGTTTGCCACGCTTCCCTTCATATCAGGCACGAACCTAGATGAAGGTGTGATATGAACTCTTTACCCAGTCCAAGCTCAATGTTGATGCATGTTAGGAACGCTCTTCTTGCCGACAAATCGCAGCTACACCGATGAGGACATCAAAGATTACATGACAGCCACCTACTCACCTTACCCACCTTACCTCTCTGATGATATCCTGGACCGACTTCTCGAACTGTACCCTGACGACCCATCCTTGGGCTCGCCGTATGGCACCGGAAATGAAACTTTTGGATTGCCTTCAGGCTTCAAGAGAGTGGCTGCGATGAGTTAGCCTCGCTCCTTGTACCCAATATAATTCCCTCAATCGTCTATTTTAGGCGGGGACTTGACCTTTGACGCTCAGCGCCGCACATGGACACAGACCGCTGCACAAGCAGGCGTGAAAGCTTACGGATACCAATTCACGCAGAATGTCTCGTCGAACGCGGCTTACTTGGGAGGTAGGTCTCATTGTTCGTGAATCCATCCAACTTATACTAAGGTGATTGCCAGTTCCTCATGCGTCGGAACTAGACTTTATCTATGGACAATTGAACTCCTCCACGGAGCCCGCTTCGTCGATCTTGTTGGGCGAAATGATGGTCGACTATTGGGTTTCATTTGCTACGAGCTTGGATCTCAACGATGGCTTGGGAATATCTCGTGAGTGATTCTCATGCTGTCAGTTGAATGCTTATTGATCAATTGTCAGGTCCCAACTGGCCACAGTACACACCGGACAACGAGGTATGTTAGAACCATTCGTCGGGTTGTTTTCTCTCGCTGATCGTGGCCCCAGGTGCTCTTACAATTGCATGGTGGTAATACGACCGTCATTCCGGATAATTATCGGAAGGAACAAATTGAGTTCCTAAGAGATAACGCTGTCGCTTTTCGCCGGTAAGCCAGTGTCTCTATACGATCTCTGTATCTTTTCGTTCAAATCCAAGCGTATATCTTCTTGGCTTTATTGCTGAGTGGTGTTGACTAAGAAAGAGAATCACATGAACATTTTTGGACTCTCTCCGCGAGTGCCCGCTGAAGACAGATATAAGAGTTGTTGAAGGGACACGAGACTTCTCCGAAGGTATACTCGATCATCACACGGACGCTGATGCACCCAAGATTCGAGACGTGATTCGGTGTTGACGCCAAACATGGACTTGATATAGGAAAGGGTGGTCACGACGTCGGTTTGGGAAGAAGCACCGATGTACGGGGTAAAGAACCATGTGCGTTCTGTCTCAACTGCTTTGGCATACCCACGGTGTATTGATATTGCAGAGAAAGTTAAGATCATTGGGCTCGATGTTTGCAACCGACGTTAGACATCTGTCAGAAAGAGATGTGTGTGTGTCACATCCAAGGAGGGTAACAGATACTGCCGGAGACGAGGACTAGAGTTGATCTATTCAAATACCTGGCTTTCCCTAAAACCTTTAAAGCTGCCTTGTCAATCGGTAGGTTGTGCTATCACGATGCTCTTTTGGTCGATTCCTGAATTCGTCCAACAATGGGACGGTCCCTCTTAAGTGGCACAAGTAGACTCGCACACAAAAGACAGGGAAGCCGGTCCGTCTATCGCCCTGAGAATCAGAACGAATTGCGGGAACCGCTACAAATCAAAATTACTAAGCACGGACGGAATACTTGAATCGTACACTTATTTATAAATGTCTCAACCTTCTTATTTTTTTGTCTGATACAACAAATGCTCCTCGAAGTATACCTCGATCTCGCGCGACAAGTCGACCAAACCTTAGTGTTGCGCAGTCTCGGTGTAGCCACCGTGTTTCTGCTTGCGCTCCAACTTCGAAAGGCCTTAATCTCTAGAGAGAAGGTAAGTTGTTACGCGAATTTCGTCCCGGTACATGCTGACATCGTCTCAGTTGAAGTCAATTCCTACGGTCGGGTCATCTGGTATCATCGGGTCATGGATAGACGCTTTCCAGTTCGTTTTCCACGCAAAGGAAATCATCGAAGAGGGTCATAGAATGGTCTGTATCGGCTCTGCTCTCAATCTGCGAATTGACTCATTGTGAACAGTATGGATCAGTGTTCAAAGTACCCTTGCTCGATAGATGGACGGTTGTGGTTAGCGGAGCAGAGAAGATTAATGACCTTCGAAAGGCGTCAGTGGAAGAACTGGCTTCCATAGTCATGAGTGAAGACGTGAGTGTTCTGTCTTGTTTGCGAGTTCTATGGCGAGGTTTACGACAACCAGATGGACTATACTTTTGGCCGCTACATCAGGATTGACCCTTACCACTTGGATGTTGTACGAGGCGCCTTGACCCGCAACATTGGTACTTGCTTTGCGGACGTTCAGGATGAGATTAAAGCGGCTTTCAGAGACAATATACCGATTACTGAAGGTGCGAAGATTTACCGTGTTTTCGGCTACTCAGATGAACGTTACTGCAGACTGGATTGAGATACCTGCATACGAAACTATTTTGCAAATTGTATGCAGAGCTAGCAACCGGATGTTTATCGGGCTGCCTCTCTGTGAGTGTCCTCTTCCGTGTCGACTCTTGATCCTTGTTGATACAAACACGTTCTTGAGGCCGGAACCGCGATTATATTAAACTCAATATCAACTACACCATTGAAATCTTTACTTTCGCTCGTATTATTAACATTCTCCCTACGGTCCTGAAGATGTAAGTTATTCTAGTTCAGTACTGTTCAGACCGTCACTGTATATGATTTAGAATCGGGAGTGCTATCTTCACTCCTCGCAGGCGAGCTGTAGCCAAGGCAGAAAAATTACTTGGCCAAACCATTCGGGAGCGACTGCACCAGGAGGATGTCCATGGCAGACATTGGCCGGGAAAACCAGTAAGGAAGTTTGATAAACATAATTTCATTCAGTTTTTGTCTCACACAACGGCAGAATGATCTCCTCTCGTGGCTGCTCGACATAACTCATGGTGATGAAAGAAGGCGTACAGTAAAAGATCTAAGTACTAGGGTGCTCTCTTTGAATACGGCAGCCATCCATACGACGTCTATGGTATGTCGAATTACACATCCAAGAGCAACAGCTGATTGGGCCCCTATAGACGTTTACTACTGCCCTGTACGCATTGGCTGCGCATCCTGAATATGCTGAAACTCTTCGAAACGAGATTGAATCTGTCATCAGAGAGGAAGGATGTACGAAAGCTGCAATGGGAAAGATGAATCAGCTCGACAGCTTTGTGAAGGAAGCTCAGAGAGTGTATGGGACCATGGGTGTCTGTGAGTCGTCTTTCTATTTGTTACATTAATATTTTCTGACCATTGAGCATAGTCGGGATGCAACGTACGACTCGGAAGGACTTTGTATTTTCGGACGGGACAGTAGTTCCCGCTGGGTATCAAATCGTTGTGGCCGCTTTGTCCACACATACAGACGAAGTGCGTGCGAGCTTTACTGTCATAGCAGTCCTTCTCATCAGTTTCCTGTGCAGGAGAACTATGAAGACCCATTGGAATTCAAGCCGTGGAGGTTCTCTGAAATGAGACAACAAGAAGGCGAAGGTATCCGCCACCGTATGGCCACACCGAGTCTGGATTTCGTTTTCTTTGGCCATGGGCGGCCAGCATGGTGTGTACTATGGTCAAGCTCTCTGATAGTTCTCAGGTCGACGTTTGTTTCCAGCCCAGGCCGTTTTTTCGCTGTTAACGAGTTGAAGGCTCTCATGTCCCACGTTCTCTTGAACTTTGACGTGAAGATGGACAAGTTCCCTGAACCTATCTGGTTTTCCGATGCTCAAAGGCCAAATGAGAGCGGTAAGGTATTGTTCAGGAAGCGCGTATGTACCCCGTGAAGGTAAAGATCAAAGTATTTTTCGATACGGTTGAGTTGAGGCAGTGCCCAAAGTGTCTTATTTAAATAGTGATGTGAATCTAGCATCTAGCATCTATGTATCTATATATTTATCTCGTACGATTCTCTTATCAATCGTCTACCATAGCGATGTGTTTGTCGAACACCAACTATGCTTTCAGCTCCCCAAGTCCGAAAAATGGGAATACAAAGAAAGACCTGACGTCCCAAGATGGACCCATCATTCTCGCTAAATCCTAGCACCCCAGCTCACTTTCAACCTAAAAGAAAAGAAAACAACTCGGTATTTTGTCCCTCCGTTGCTTCCGCCTGCCAGTCTTGACCCAGGACATGGTATGCCCCGTGAGGCGGCCGGCAAAATTGTAGAGGTGATCATTTTTGGAGACCTGTGATGGTTTGACGTTCAGGAGGGTTCACGACCAAGCATTGTGGACGACGCTTACTCGTAATCGAGCCGCCGACCCCGTAATGTTCCAAGGAAAAATTCGTCTTCATTGACATGTGCACAGAGCATTGTGCCGACTCGCAGTCCACATGCTAGTCGAAGCGCACCACTCGCCTAAAGACCGGTGAAATGGAATGCGTACCCGGAGCGGTCATAAAGCATGGATGACCACGCGACAAAAAAAAGAAAGCGACGAACATGGAAATCGCAAGGATACATCGTTCGGTCCCGGGATGCACGAAGTCTACGTTGAACCTAATCTGTCATGGTCAGTCGCGCTGGCGCCGGTAGAGATTCGCGAATGCGTACATGAAACAGATCCGTTCCATGCAGGGGTTGCTCTATCTCTCCATTTCGTACTAGAGGGAAGAGTCGTGCGGGGAAAACGGTATGACAATTGATTGAAGGTGCAATTATTGCAAAATGAATAATATTCTTCGAATTGACGCTGGACCGGTCGGTTCAGCGTCCTCGTCCTTCCAATTTATGCCCAGTACATTCGCGCCAGTAACAGGTTTATTGAAGTGTGCCCTCTGCTAAATTGTTTCGGTACCGACTACAGGGTCCAGGTCAGTGGTTCCGCTTCATTAGGAGGGTCCGGCGGGAGGATGTAGCGTTCGTTCGGCGGCGGGAACGCAACAAACATTCGCTGACTCGAATGCTTCCACGTTTACGCGTGGTATCATATATGACCATGAGCAGAATACGGATTTCTCCCCTCAGTTGAATTGTTGCAGGTGGTCTTTGAGCGGGGTTCCTTTCTTACACAGCATGGGTATGTACACAACAGAGATAGCAACGGGCCGCGGCTGTGAAGCAGCTGTGTAAAGGAACAGCATCCTAAAGATGGTCCGAATGATGACTTCGACTTACGGAGGTGTGAATGCATCCCTGGAATGGAGGAGGATGCATAGCCGAGATACGAGAATGCCGTACAGCTCCGAATGCATTCCCTTCTGGGTTGCTGTGAAGGGAAAGCAAGGGCGCTTAGAGCCAGGAAATGGGACCTGATGAGAGAAATCAGTTTCCTTGGAAAAACTGACAGACACCAGTGGACGGGGAGAGTTATACGGTAAATGGTAGGCAATGGAGAGTTTCAAGAGGCGCAAATGGTAATATCCCCAGTCTGTGTGTCGCAGGTCTCTCGGTACTTTGAGGTGCATATCGGCGTGATAGATGATTCAATTGAATGATGTGACTCCCAGTCGAACCTAGACTGACACGAAGGACCGGAGAAGTGGAAGTTCCAGGTTGACTGCAAAATTTCGTTCCCAGGTGAGCGAACATTGTGTATTGTTATGGGTGGTTGTATGCCATGCCGTGATAGAGTTAGCCTCAAGGCAAGTTTCCAGCCGGAGGTGATCGTATAGACAATACCTTAGTATATTGCAGACGGAAGGTGCTGCTACGCCAGACCGGCCTCGTGCATCAGCTGATTGGCGCTATAGCAGAGCGTGACATGAGTTCTCCTGCTTGATGGTGACTCGTATGGCGACATTGTCATAGCTATGACTGTTCTTTTTTTCCCAGGAGGTTGGTTAGCAACAAGGAAAAGAAACGCCAAAGTGGACGATAACCCCAGTAATAAAGGTGTTTGTGGGACTTGCTATCCATGGAACAAAGAGCAGAAATACGGTTTTCAACCACGAGAGCCTAAAGAGGGCTGCGGAGTCTTTACGTATGTCCCTTGATCAGTTAATCAACGCCCAATGCAGCGGTTCCTACTACCTCTCGACAAGCAATTTTACGTCCGAAGGGGCCCTTGATGGAGAAAATATCGCGTGTTGAGAAAATTTGCGTCTGCGAGAGCTCCGGTCTGTAACGTATACTGACGACCTTGTTTGAGCCAAAGGGATACAAGGATGACCAAAGCAGGACGCCAATAGGAGGCTATTGGCAATGGCAACGCGAACGTAGACTTTGTCCATGTTCCCGATTTGGAGATCCGATTGTTGCACGCCCGAAAAGGAAACCAAAGAAAAAATCTGATCACGATCATTGTTCTATTCTGGATATTTGGTATGTGGGAGGCCGTATTTAACTGTTGGCAAGCGCGCTATCCCTCTTTACAGCACTCCCCCTTTCCCATCCTATCCTATCATCCTCAACCTCCCTTGAAAATTATGTTCCAAGTCGCGTCGTATCCAACTCCATTCAGCACGCTTCCTCAGCAACGTCAGCATTGCAGCTCCGTTCAGCTCCCTGCGACTTTGGCCCGCCCCCGTTATTCCGAAGTCTCTGCCAGCGCTATCGAGGCTGTGTCTCCTGAGCTCGCTGGCGTTCCCCCCGACTATATCCGAAGGAATTTGCGCTCCGAAGCACCACAGTACGTTTATTACCGCGTTGTCGGCCCGTTTTTTCCTCGCTGACAGTTATGTACAGAATGCTAGCAGGGATATCTGCTTTGGCGCCCTCCCATCTCCCCACCATTCTGTCGAAAAGCCATCTTCCGGGCGTGTTATCCGTCCCCATTCGCTCGCCGTCGCGCGCGTTCCCCACCCATGTGTTGGCTATCTCGTCTTCTAAGATTCCCTCAGAGCATTGTATGGTATTTCCTATACATGCTCTCGTCCTCGCGTCGCACTGCGCGCATCTCCCAGCGATCCCACCTGCTCATTCACAAGCCGGTCAATCGCTGGTCAAGCTCCCTGTTCTTCCCTTCGCCCTCCCTTCGCCGCAAGCATTCGGCATCATACACAACTTCATGTACACCCACCGCCTCGAGCCTGTCTTCAGATCGCTCCTCCCAGTCCCAACAGGTTTCTTCCAATCCATCTCACACGAGACGGTCCTCGATACTCTGGACGCCATGGGGACATGCATGCAACTGTCGGCCTACCTTTGCTCCCAGGAGCAGGGGGACTTGCAGAAGCTCACTACGCATGCTGTGCATGTTAAGGAGCTCTGGCAGGATATGATCGCTCTCGGCATCTACAGCACAGATTTGTGGGACGCTGTTGACCTTGCTTGGAGAATTGTGATTGGCGCGCTTACCATTGCCGCTAGGAACGCGAATTAATTTCGCACCACGTTATGCCTTTAATTTTCCTGGGCGCGTTTGTATCCAAAATATTGTTACTAATACCCTTGCATTATTCCACCAACCCCATATTTCTAGTATCGTTACTGTATTATTTTTTGTAGGACTTGATTTGAGTCGAACATCGATGTAGCCGTATACAGTTTCTCGAACATCTTCTATATATAGCCTTGCATTTTTTTTCACCCTTTTCATGCGTATAATCTGTGTAAATCCGTATAGACCAAAGCAAGACGTCGACTTCTCCCTCCTTATGGCACAACAAATTGATGGTTGTTCAGCTGATATGTACATGACGTCTCAGTTGCACGGAGAAATGAGGCCTGAAATGGACAAAGATCACGTAGAGGAAGCTGATACACGGGTCAGCCTTGACACGGCCTTCTTTGTAGTATGGATTGCACTTGCCCGGGAATGATTGTTCTACGCTTCTGTGTATCTACGGATAGAAGTTATCAGACCGGCTGCAGTGAGCGTGGTCGAGGACAAACGCGTGATCTTTGGTCCTTGAAAGCTACCGCGAAGATGTGAGTAAGGGATAAAGACGTGTTTATCAGAATGCTTACTGGAAGGGCATTATGGTGGTGGTGATGGTCTCTGATTACATCATAGTTGGCATAGTCCACCGCAGCATTTCCTTCATGCAAGTACGCATTGTTCGTCGTTCCATTTTTCAGAACGGAAATCTTGCACAGGCTGAGGAACGGACTCTGAATTTACAGATGGACGCATCCCCAATTCTTTCCGAAGAATGAGAAGGTCAAGAGAACACAGCTGTGAATGACAGCAACCGTTCCCTGCATCGTTGCTGCCGTGCCGTTGCAGCATTCAAAGTAATTGCAGCCTTTTGTGGGCGCTTAGATACATATCACCTTGAATTTTTCTTTTTTGAGAATAGTGGGATACAGCAAGATATCAACGAGGCGGTCGAGAACAGCAAGGGCGTGTCGGCAACGAAGCAAACGTAGGGAACGAGTACATCGATTGAATACCCTTCACACTAGGCGCCCAATTTTTCAGCAGAAACCAAGGTATCTGTTCAAGCCTTCCCTTTGCGGTACTAAGGGTTGTTACTGAAAAATAAGCGGAATGTAAAGTATTGAACGGAACGTCCATCGCTAGGTAAGGGCAATCGTGGGAACTGAACCTAATGCTAATGTCGACCGCCATCTCCTGCCTCCGCATTTTCTTTAAAGACGACAGAAAAAGATGATGCCCTTCCAGTGGCTCACCCAGCTGTTCTCTACCGTCCTTTCCTTCATCATGCCGTCCCCTGGCCCTTCCGACGACATGTGTATCTTTGCAACCGAGCCTCAGCGGGGGGCGACGAGCGCTACGCTCCTTCTCAGCGCCCTTAAGAACCGTAACGACTTCCTCCGGCGAGGCCTCGGTAATATCATGTCGAAGAAATCGGGTACCGTAAATGTTGCTCATCCCATAATGTGTCTCAGCACGAGTACCTTGTTGTGACCGTGAAGGAATCTTCGGGAGCTAGGCGGAGCGGGTTCCTCATGGTAGATAGGTTGAACGATTCACCTACATCGAATGCCTCACAGTCCAATTCCTCTACCGCCTCTTCCTCGGCTACCACTGATGATCACTGGGATACCCCGAACCGTCTTCATCGCTTCGGCGCTAAAGTCAAGAATTTCAGCAAGTGGTATCCTATTGATGCATTCGACAGAGTGGTCATCTTGCGCAGCATCGACGAAGCCCTGGAGGTGCAGGGTGGATGCCCGTACCATTGCCTTATGACGATGGACTTCAGGCAGGCGCAAAGACGTGTCACCCTCGAGCACTTTCTCCTCCTCCTCCAGACCACCTCGACGAACACTGTAGAGTACCACCTCATCTTTGCGCAGTGCTACTGGTTTGCATACACTATTTGGAAGGTTCTTGATTTGGAGGCAGCATCACATATAACACCGACAAAGTATGTTCCATTACAGGGCAAGAATCCTGAGTTGGCGCTGGGCATGGTCCTTGGGAGAGGCGATGAAGTGAACGAATGGAGGGCGCCGGGGACGGTCAAGCTGCAGTGGGAAGAAGCAAAAGTTATCGCGGACCAGGAGTAGGCTGAGTTGCGAGACGTGAGCTTTTGATTATCGTTCTTTAGACGGACAGATTTTTCTGATATGCTTGTCAGGCGCTTCTTGCTCCAGAGAGGGCCCGTACACGGGCAGAGGAAGCCCTTCAGCAAGAACGGGTGGCCCGCCAACAGACAGAGGAAGCCTACCAACGGGCAGAGGTAGCCCGCCAGCAAGAACGGGCAGCTCGTCAACAGGCAGAGGCAGAGGTCAATCAGCTTCGAGCGACGTTGGCGAAATATCAGTCCCCTTCTGGTAATAGGTCCTATACACAGTAGATTCTTCTTGTTTCTCCTTCCTCCCCATCGTTTTCGTTCTTCCTATCTTTCCACCGTGCTATGTAATACTACCTACGCCCCCTGCTTTCACTGCTAGCTATCTGCTTCCGATGCTTCTGCGATAATGTAGTTTTATGCCGTGTTTTTTTTTGTTTTGATGACCGCTGCTAAATATGATAATATTTCTTTTGAGAGTCATGCGACTTTTTGTTTCATTGGATGACCGCATTCAGGTCCACCGCTCTGTCAGGCTTGATCCGTATAATTCTTTCGGCTACTGTTCCAGGGCAGGTATCGTTCCCTTCCTCGCCTGAGTCGTCAAAATCAAATTTTGCTTCGACTCTCCGCGTGCTTCAATATCCAACGTATCATTTATCTTTTTCGTAAGAGCAACAACAGCGCACGACTAATGGAAGAAGATCTGACGCTAACTCACGCTGGTCAGAGATGAAATTTTGACCAGAGCAAAATCTGTTGGGTTCACCATTATTTAAAGGAATTCCCGGCTCATTAACTGGGTCAAATAATATCTGTGTTGAAGTAGCACACCCTCCATGTCGCTCTTACCTTACATAATCATAGCTACCAATACTGGAGGTCGAAAGTCAACGCTTACTAGCTTTTGACTTTTGACTCCAGACCTGGCTTTCCCTGCTGCGCTATGCAACCTGCTCTCAACAGGTTATGGGCCCTGTGCCTTACTAAGCCAAGCAATTTTTTCGTTCCCTCTCATGAACCATTCACTAGACATCGAAGTCTCGCTCACTTTCCTAAGGGACATCACTATCCATTCAGAAGTCGCATCCACCCATCACAGGCCTACACACACTCTCTAACCCCAATGGTCTCTTTTTTTTCCACACCACAATGAATGACTCAGACGTCATCAACACCATCAAACATGGTTTTCCCAACCTCCATGCTGGCAACTGGAACCACTTTGCACCTTCGTTCAAGATCTACATGTGCATCAAGGGGCTATTTGGCCACTTCGATGGCACTGAAGAGCCACCAGAGCAAGCCAATCCCAGTGAACCCACAAAGCTTGAAAAGAAGGAGACAAAAGCTTACCTTCAAGCTCATTCATCTGCAGCAGGATACCTCTGGCTTTGCATTGATGAATCACAGTGCACTCATATCAGTCTCCTCATGGGTAAGCCCACAGCTATGTGGTTGAAACTGAAAGACATTCACCAACAGCAAAAACTGGGCACCCGTTTCAATGCCTACAATGCCTTATTCAGCATTCGGAAGGATGATGAAGAGTCTCTCTCTACTCTCGTTGGATGTGTCTCACAAGCTATACAAGACATCAAAGCACTCCGCCCTGAAAAGTTCACCATCAATCAACTCGATGAAGAGCTTCAATTCATGACTCTCATCCATGCCCTCCCATCTGATTATGACAATTTTGTGTCATCAGTCCTTCTCCTCCATTCTCTCAGTCTCGACAAACTCGTTGCCACCTTCCACACCGAAGAGATGCAGTGCCACTCTCATGACACCACTTCAGCAACATCATTCAAAGCAAGCGCTGTCAGAGTCCAAGCCACTCATGTGGCATCATCCAATATCATCTGCAGCTGGTGCATCAACTCTGGACATACTGAGGAGGAGTGTTTCAGCAAAAAGAAAGCCAAGGAGCGAGCTATACAGCGTGTCTAAGAATGTCAGAATACAAAATCGGGCAAGAAGGCAGAAGAGGCAAAGACAGAGAAGTCAAACATTGCAGAAGAGACTGCCAGCCAAGCGAGTATTGATCTCTTGTCCCCAGCATTATCTAACTGGAATATGGACACAGACACTTCATCTCACATGAGCCATCATCGAGACTGGTTTCATGTCTGGACACTACATGTGGTTCCGATTTGGTTAGTGAACAATTCAATCATCTATTCAGCGGGCATGAGGACAGTTGTATTTAAGCCAAAAGAGAAGAATAGAGAGGTCTGTGAAGCTGTCGAGTTTCAGGATGTACTGCATGTACCTGATCTTTGGAATAACTTGCTTTCACCCTTCCATCTTACATGTCATAAAGGATATGAGATCAATATAGCCGGGTCATCAGTCCAGTTCTTTCAAGACAAAGCACTTCATTTCTCAGCTACTGTCAATGATAACAACATTGGATATCTTAACAGTACCACTTGCACTATAAGGCCAGTAACCTCAAGTACTGCAAGCATCTGTCCACTTGACTTGACCCTATGGTATCGACAAACCTGTCACAGAAGCATAAACATTATCCAGAACATGTATGAGAATCAGCTTGTCTTAAATATGAAGATAAACAATATGCAATCTAATCTCAATCCAATTTGCGAATCTTGCCTTATGGGCAAGCACAGACAACATAATATTCCTCGAGGTCCCTCACTTCTTCCAACACACTCTCTCACAATTGTATTTTCTGATCTTAAGGGACCTATGCTAGTCACTACACCAGAAGGTTATTGCTACTGGATCACTTTTATATGTGGTGCTCTGCGTTTTTGAGCTGTTGCCTTGCTAAAGCACAAGAGCAATGCTCTGGCTGAATTTAAATGCTACAAAGCCTATGCTGAAAACTTTCATGGTCTGAAGATCTTAGAGGAGCAAGACGATGGTAGAGGAGAGTATATAGGTCATGAATTTGATCAGTTATGCATAGAAGAAGAGATATCAAGATGCCATACTGAGCCTGATAAGCCTCATCAAAATGGAATTGCAGAATGTGCAAATCGTGATATTGCTGAAGGAGCTATTACTATGCTCTATGAAGCTCGTCTTTCTCTCTCTTTCTGGGGACTAGCAGTGCTTGCATTCATATATATGCATAACCATTGCTCTACAGCACCACTTCCTAAAACAACACCATATACTGGCTGGCACAAGAAGAAACCTGATGTCTCTAACTTACATGTCTTTGGCTGCTTAGCCTATGTCCATATCAAAAAGAACAAGCGACAAGGTCTTCAGCCATGCACCACCAAATGCATATTTATTGGATATCTATCAAGTACAAAAGGCATGGAAGTGCTGGAACCCTGCAACTAAGAAGTTCATTATATCAAGCCACGTCATTTTTGATGAGTGAGTGTTCTCAGGAAATACAAAAACTCTTATCAACCTTTTCAGTGACCTATTTTCTCCACTCTCAAATCTGTCAGATTCTCCTATGCTGCCTGATCAAAGGAGAGATCTTAACAATGATGATCTTCCACCTCCAGAAAATCCTTCAGCACCAAATCCCTCACCTTCTCTAAGCTCATCACCTCCAGTATCACTCCTTCTGTTAGACCCAAATCCCACGTGACCATTGACATGTGATAAACAGTTCAGAACCTCGCACTTCGGATTAGACTGACTGAGTTCACTTTGTGTGCCGATGGTTTTGTGTGGACAAGGCTCTTTTTGAATTAGTTGAGCTCGAGTTAAGATAGTGGCATATAAACTTTAGTTCGAGACTGAGGTGTTACAGCGAGAACTAAACTAATATACTGTTCTGTTATTGTACTATAAATAACTGTTCACAAAAGCTGTTGTCTTGCTGTGTGCTGTTTCCCCTACTGTTGCTAGGCTCTCCACAAAAAGCTGTTGTCTTGCTGTGGAGCTGTAGTTATGCACTGCAATTTGAAGACAAAAAGAGCATTGTCTCTCTCTTTACAGCACACAGCAGTGTGACAGGAGAATGACCGACTTGGGTTGCTGAGCTAAGCATTCCCACAGTCATAAGCACTGGTAAGTGCCCTGACTAAGCAAAGATAGAGGTCACTTCCAAAGAAAAAGAAAAGAAAATAGAGGAAAAATTGGAAAAATTGTAACATTACCCCCTCCTTAAGACCATCATCCTGATGATTAAGTTAGAGTAGGTCCCCCCCTTCGGAAGGAGGTGGCTGATCTGCTGGACTCATTCATAGGTTTTGCAGATTCATAAAGACATTGATCGGTTTTTGGATGCCTTTGGTCATCGTCATGTCATGACTTTCAATAGATTGCAGGCTGCCTGTGGATCCATTGTGTGCATGAGACATATTGCTTTTCATTGTATGTCCCATGGTAATTTTGTTGTTTCATTTGTGCAACTGGTGGGTGTCATCCGTAATTCACAAAAAATAGTTTTTTACCTGTTGTGCTGTGGATTCTACTGAACATGCGATCGGAATGATCGTCTTCGAGAAGCGATCGATGATGATGATAGTAGTGTCATGGCCGTTACTTTCAGAAAGATTGTTTATGATATCTCTGATGGCCTTCGAGAAGCAGTTGCAAGTGACTATGATTGTATCATAGGTGTTGCTTTTGGGAAGGTTGAGATATGGGTCTGTCAGGTTCTTGCTACACTGGCACGTCTGGCAGTAGCATCATCACGCCATGTGGCAATTTTCTTTTTGTGCCCTTGCCTCATGATTGAGTGTTAGAGGCGCCTTTTGATCCAGTTTGTTGGATCCGTAGTGGTGTTCTTGATACATTTACATATCTTGTTTCCATGGTCCTACCATGAAAACATTCTGGTTAGAGGGTATGACTTCCCTTGCCATTTTCTCCCTGTTTTCGGCATCCCTATGATTTGCTCCAATGAGATAATGTTGCTGCTCAGTGAGTGCGATTATTATGGCAAGGAATGTGTCTTTGAATGCCTTCAACATGTCAGCATTTATTCTGTCATGTTGTTCTCTGAGAGTGCTGACTCCCCTGGAGTCAGTTTCTCCATCCTGACTTGGTATAGACAAGATAATATTCTTGGTCATTCCATGTTTGAATGCCGCATGTTCAAAATTTTCCAACTCCATGGGGAATTTTCAGGTAATTGTGTCTTCTGTTGTTCCAGATAGGTCATCAGAAGAAGTTGATCCATCCAACTGATGATCGTCACTTCCTCTCCTTTATTGGTCCTATACATTCAGTGGCCTGGCCACCTCAGTAGTGTTCGTGATTGTTGCCAGTCAGGATTCTGGGTAGGAAATTCTTGAGGCATCATTGGTGTTTCCTTATTAGGGTTGGTGCCTGTTTGTCCCAATGCTGTGAGTCCCATCGGTTTGAACAATGTTCGTCTTGTTCAAAGAGTGGTTTGTAATTTACCATATATGCAGTATTCGGCAATTATCAGTTTATCCATGTGTGTATGATTTTAAGCATAGTGGTCATGTTGTCTGGTGTTCATTTGACTACACTGTATTCTGGTCACAGGTTCATGCCATGTGACCTTTTGGGTGTGG